ATTCAATCAAGAAGTGGGCAGCGAGACGACGCTGGACAAATTCAAGGAGGAACTGTGGGACACAGTCGTAAGATTTGGAGAACCGCTTCTGATAGGAACGGGCCTGGATGAGAAGGCGAGAAAAGAGCTGCTGAGCAAGCTGGTAGAGCTGAGGAATTCACGATCGAAGACTAGAGAAGAAAAATGTGAGGACAGCTCTACTCTGAAACAAAAAACTGTAGATAAAAGAGTTGATGATATAAAAAGGGATAAGGTTGGGACTAGTAATATAATTAAAAGTACTAATATCCTTAAGGCTCGAGCAGGGGGGAGGCAAGAGTTGGAAGGATTGGACAGAGAGGTCGAATCAGTGATGGTAGCTACAACACCCTCAAGCACAAATGTGAAGACTCGCAAGAGGAAGAGAGAAGTAGAAGGATTGGGTAGTCCTTCAGTGGATGCTGTTTCGGAATGAAACTTGAGAGAGACGGCGCCCATGGTTTTGGCTCGATGCAAGACGGCGGCATACAAGAACAGCTCAGAGCTCAGAAGACCACTTGAAGTAGAGAGGGAAATAGAGACTTCCACCAGTTCGACATCGGAGGAAGACTTCAAGCCTCAGAAGATAAACGTAAAGAGAGGTTCAACGAACGGACAGACATGGGAAGTGGATATCGGCAAAGAATGGATCTCGAAGGCACATCAGGACATGGGCAAGCAAGTGACGAGTGATCCATTGGAGAGGAACAAGACGAGGAACACTTCCCGGACGTGGTGGGTGGCCCTTGAAACATTGAAAGAAATGGAGGACTGCTGGAAGAAGTTGGACAGTGGAGTAGCTCGCAAGCGACGCAGTTGGGCCACCCAGCAAAAGGCCGAGGTTAATAAAATAGAAATGGCAAATCATCTGAAGAGGTCCTGGCAGAGTTTGTTGAAGGATCATTTTGAAGAAGCAATGAGGACACCCTCATCAGCACCACCATTAATGGCGAATCCCTTCGTTAGAACTGCAGGACAATTAATGTTCACCTGAAGTCTGGTGGGAATAGAGTTGGAGACACTGACCTCGTATGACAGGCTGAAGTTGGGAAGCAAGAAGCTAGATGTGTATCAGGCACTGATGCAACACGTAGCCAGGGACAATTCAGGCTTGAGCCTGGCTAGAAGAAAGGATGCCACGTGTTTCTTGAGATGGATAATGTCGATGATGTCTGATAGCACCATCCTGGCATGCCAACAGAGAGCAAGCGGAAGTAAAACCATAGAAAAAAGAGTCTCAACGATCATCTTGAACGTGTATCAGAGTACAGGAATAGAAAAGGAAGATGGTTCCAGACAATCCCTAGAGAACCACAGAAAGCTAGACGAGGTGCGGAGGTTTTATAATAAGAAGTTCGAAGAAGAACATGATGTTCACCGTAACCTGGCCTCGTCAGAGCAGTACTCGAGACTCAGCGAGAAGGGGGAATACCAATATGTGTCGGGAGTAATGGGAATAGCCTACAACCCCTTCTTAGACTCGGAAACTGGAGGCGCCCACAGAAACCATGAGGTAGCGGAGCTACTGAGGTTTTGGACAGAAAGAATAATGGAAATAGACGCGGTGGAAAAAGAGGGGCCGAGCTTGGGCCTGATTCTTGAGAAAACACCAGAGGTGGTAAGCATACCGCGCTCAAACAAGAGAGTTGAAGTGAACATGGGCGATGGAAATGGCTTGTTAACCACGAACTTGGGAGTGGTATGGAAGCTACTAAGACCCTCCTGGTGTCCACATCCCCACGCGAGTCTGATCGAGGAAACCACCGAGCGAGTGAGGTTAGCACCAACGGAAGATGAAGATCTGGCAAAGTTGAGTGTGCTGCATAAGCTAATCTCACCTCAGATGCAAGAGCCAAGCGAAAAGACGAACAATCCCGGGTCAGCAAAGAAATTGGAGCCGGGTAGCTGTCTGGATTCGACGTGTGGAAACGGAGAGCACACCTGCGATGGACGGTCATGCGTCAGAATACTGTCCTTTCAAAAAGAAGACCTGGTCACTTGGTTCGAAGACATCACAGAAAGGGAGAGAAGTGAAGTGCAAATAGTAGCGGAGTGTTACGCGAGAACCACGGTGAATATAGCGACAGCTCTCGGATTCTTCTCGAGAATGTGTAGTTTGCAGTCATTGGAAAGACTAGAGTCTGAACACCATTGGGTGACGGCGTTGAGCGTAGAATCATGGCCTGGGGTGTTGCAGGTGACTCAAAAACACATCCGGAGCTGGAAAGTTGGTCTTGAGGCAGAAATGGGGTTTCCCATGAGCGAAGCTTATGGCCTGCCATTGAACGCAAAATCCCTGATAGGGTCAATGATGGCCAACTTGTGCGGAAGTCACTACCCACTGCACATGGCGATGGTGGAAGCATCCAGCCAGAGAGTACTGGTGGACAAGGCCTTCTCAGTGCCCAAGTGCGTGAGGTTGGCTAGGATATCGCATCACTCGCACAAGTTGTTGAGAAAAATCAGAGGGACAGTACCAAAAGAATTGAGAGATGACTTGAGTGAAATCTGGGGAGAAGAACTTTTGAAGTTGGAGAGAGAGAACACAAGCGATCACGAGAGACAAAACGTGATCGGAAAACCTGTGGGAAGTGCTCCAAACCTGGAAGATAACGACACGATGCATGAAAAAATGATGGAGCTTGAGCCTCTCTTGGAAGCCTCGGGGGAGCGTAACCTCAGGAGCATTGAGATCACCCATGGAGAATGCCCATGCCACTGTTTGGCGCAAACGGTGTGGTATCCAGATCACAAGAACCTTTGCCTGGTGTGGGATATGGAAGAAATCCGGTCGATCGGACTACCGGATCACCGACAGAAGGTGACGCTCTTGGTAGTGAGTACGATGTTGGCTCTGAGATGGATAGAAGAGAATATAACGAAGTATCGGGAAGCGGGGACGCCAACGGCTGAGTCAATATACGCGATAGACTACAGTAGGAGACTCGAGTTGTTTGAGACTGCGTGCAAGGTATTCGCCATACCAACGGAAGTCAGACATGTCTGGAGCCGTTTGAGGTACTTCCCATGGTTTCGGGCGACGCTGACGTCTTGGTTGTACATGACAACGAAAGATCACATGAGAAAACATCAAAAGGAGTATCGACAGTTCCAGGCCGAGATTGGGCCGGAAGCTTTCAAGAGACCCCTGTTAACCCATCGTAATGCAATCACGACAGGATGGAAGAGAGTGGGTAAAATGTCTAGAGACAATACCAAGGCGAGGGAATCGATACTAGAGGAGGACCTGGCGAAGAACGTGAGCTTGAGCCTGCACAACTCCTTTTGTTTGAACCGGGAATCTAGGGTGAAGGCACTACCCAACCAGGCAAAGAGGTTGCAAGAGCAAAGAGAATGGATGCGATCCTACGAACAGCTGAAGGCTTGGGAGGATATTGTGATTAGCTCCGATGATGAAGAGGAACTGTTGAGACAGTTTGCCGTATCTAGTACTTCAGGGTGCAGTACCTCCAAGGCGAAGAGCGCGAGATGAGTAGGTGGCTCGAATGGATCTTGAGTCTTGAGAGGGAAAGGGGGCTTGAGCGTGGATCCGGGTGAAACTTGGATTCACGAAAAAGAAATTTTAACAAAGCAAATATTGTTATTAATATACTATATTTACTATATAAATCAAAATGCTGCATGACAATTTCCTGATTGAATAAGACAAAAGAAATTTTAAATGATTGGCTTGGTAAGCGAGAATTCAAGGGTGCAGGTGTGTGCAGATTTTGATTGCTGTTTAGCGATAGTGTGAAAATTTTACATGGCTGTGAATTTTGGGGTGTAGATAAGCTTAAGTCTGCTGCAAACTTCTGTAAATGACCACTGGCACTGTATCTTGAGTAACACTCGATTTTCTGGGACTCACTGGCAGAAGACAGCACGCGATGAGGACATCGATCTCGAGTCCGGGGAGTATGTGCCAGTCGGTCATATTTGGAAGTTTGACCTTGAGAGAAGCAAAAAATACTTAATTTTGGAGTGAAATTTAATTTTTCAAAATTTCGAATGGAACCTGTCATGCACGATTTTCTCGCGATAACTGAAAATCAGAAAAGAGAAGTCAGAACAATCGAGTGACAATCGCGGGAAAGTTGCTAGAAAAATCAGTGGGAAATTGCTATTCGCAATTTCAGTAGCGATAATAATCTAGAGTAGAGCTGTCCCATCTAGAACAGAGACGAGCGCATCCCCACGAACTGGATTGTTGTGATTGGAGTATTATTCTAAACTGGACTAGAGTGAACCTTCGGTGGAAAGGTGGACAGCTAGAGTGTCCCAATGGTTCACGAGAACTGACATTCTAGAGTACAAACTTGTTCTTGTTATTAAAACTGACAAACAATAAACTCATTTTAGTTACTTAATTGATTCTTGAGTTGCATACCGACTTATTTACTTCCTGATTCTTGACCGTGCTACAATGTGAGTACTAATTTAAAATTCTAGAGTGTGTTTTATAATTGTTATGTTGAGGTAAGGCGAGTTTTAGGTTGATCCATCTGAAATGGATCAAAGTTCCACTGTCTAATAAAAAGTAACTTAACGGATTGTTCCGACCCGGTTTTTAACGGCGTTCATGTATTTTGGGTATCTAGAGACCTGAGTATGGGGACGTTATTAATTCTAGAGTGGGGGGGATATTTTAGTAGTAGCCTTTAAGCTGTAACGGGTCGTGGTCTCGTGTCAGAAGCGAACCGAATTGGCTCCGACTGATTTGAGGTGGAAAAACACAAGAGATAGTGTCCCTGACTCTTGAGCCAATAGTTATAGGGCCTATTTTTCTTAAGCCTCATGTGTGACTGCAGTAGACGAATGTTACAATTTTAAAAACCTGAAGATGCACAAAAATGTGCGAAAACGTTTGTTTGAATATAAAATTTTAACGCATTCTCATAATATAATTTTTTGTTTCTAAAAACACTGTGCGAAAAAAATTGTGATTGAATTATTCAATTCTTCAACATTTCATCCATTTTCTTGGTATTGATTACCATTATTTTTCTAAAATCCATTGTTTTTCTAAAAACTTTATTTTTCTAATGGCGTGTCTTATGCTTTTTCAGGGTCGTTTTTTAAATATTAAAATACTAGCAGGTTCTGAAATCTCAATTCCGTGGCGAAGTGCTCTCAGGATACTATATAAGTTGCATTTTTTTCTCTTCAAAATGACTGCCCAAATCTTTAAGTGTTTAAATGCTTTCGAAAAATTTATTTTTGTAAAAAAAAAACGAAGAGAATTGGAAATTTTCGACCTTATATTGGTATGCTTTCAGGGTACACTCATGAATATTAAATATGGCCTCCAAATATGTCTTATAGAAACCTTTAAGCAACGAGAGATGGCTTATTAATCGCTTTTGAAATTTTTTTCTTCGAAAAGTTTTTTGAGATCTTGCAAAGCTTGAAATTTTCAGCCAGATACTGTGGTGCTGTCAGGGAACTCCTAGAGGTTAAAAAGTTGGCTTATATTTTAATTTCTCAAGTTCAGTTACCGAGATGTGATATGTTTAGTTGTTTTTTTTTTCAAAATCTCAGTAAACTAAAGAGTTAGTTGAATAGTTAAAATTTTGAAATGTATATGCATGTTTTTGCTGTCGGCTTTTCAGGGTCCTTCCTTAAAGTCGTAGAGATATGACTATTTTGATGATAAATAACTTAAAAGATGACTTTATAAATTGTTCAATTGATGAAGTAGAAGACCCTGTTGGATGGGCCAGTTTAAATTTACGGTTGCATTACATTTCTTTGGGAAGCTCTTTTCACGTTCAAAGATCTATTTAAAGCACCGCAACTGCGACTCATGGGTTAGTTAATATAATATTTGTGGCCAATCTGTAATTTGAACCAAAATAATTTCTACTCATCACTGTGTTTCTGCTGCGGCCATTTTGTTCAAAAAAAATGATATGTCTTCTTTCGTTAAAAGGGTTCATGGTATCACTGATGGGGAACAAACCAAAAATTGATGAGCCGAGCCCTTGGATTCAAATAGCTGGCCACATGGATTGTTTTGTTCCCTTTGAAAACAACAGGAAAGTTGCGAAAGCAATTAAAGAAGATCGCAGCGAATATAATAATTATGTGCTAATTGACGAAAATGATGCATTGTTTGCCTTCTTGCCCCCGTTTCATGGTTTACTAGAGGAAAAAATTAAGCTCCAAATTGACAGTGCTATTCACAAGCACGACGAGTGGTTGGTTCTTTCTAACGTGTTGACAGGATACATTGAACCTGTTGTGATGGATGTGAAAATGGGAAAAGAAACATGCGGGGCAAAACAGTATCATGTCAAAATGACAAAAAGACGAGACTTGTTTGAAAAGTTTTGTGATCTCGAATTTCCATTAGAATTGTTATCAGAAGACGAAATCAGAGACCAGGCAGTGTCAAAGTTCCGTTACGCTGAATTGAGAGATAAAATCTCTACAACGTCGCAGTATGGTTTTCGAATTGAAGCAAGTAATTTAGGTAAGGTAACAGCTATTATGATTTCAAAGAGCTTACGCGAGGTTTCGCATGCAACAAATGTTCTAGAAGTTATAATCGAGATTTTCATAAATCCCTATATAATTTTGATTGATGCGACCAAAGTCCAATATTTTTGAGTTCAATTGCAGTAAGAATTTTTAAGGTGTCTAAGGCTAAACTAATAAGATATCAGAATCCTAGTATTCGAACTAGAAGTTTTGTTTAGATGGCTTCAAAAAGAAGGACTATGTTAAAGCAAATAGCTTGCAACAGAGCCAAGATATTTGCCGCAAGTTCTCAAATCACATATCCGAATCTCAACTGAAGCAAATTGTTGCTCGACTGAAAACATTCCGCAACTGTGTCCTCAAATCCAAATTTTGCCAAACGCATCAGCTCATCGGTTCTTCTCTTCTAATAGCTTTTGACCGGCACGTCGACCACTCAGATGTTTGTGGAGTGTGGTTGATAGATCTTTTCCAAGCTACTCAGGTTTCGCTGAATCAAGAAAGCAATGGTGAAAATTGCACTTCATCTAGCTTCATTGCATCAAGAAATTGCAATATTGCAATAATCGAGGGAGCTTCAAATCTGAGCCATCTGTTTGAAAACATACTGAATGCTACATAGCTGAAATGTTATTTTCCTCTAGTTTATGATTTTCTTCATTCCCTCACTTTTATCATTTCGACTTCGTTAGAGCTGTAAATTTTCTATCGGAAAAGCATCTTTGTATCAAATGCAATACTTTGTTAATTACTGGTTTTGTAATGGATGTATAAATGTATGGAAGTAGACCATTTAATTTGTCTTTTATTCACTGGCTGAATGATTTTAATGTTTTTAGCAGGGTATATTGCTGTAAACTATAAGAAGAATCTGATAGACTGTCGAGAGAAACCGGTAAAGTTGCGGCCTCACCAGAGTCCTATCTAAGTATTTAATAGTTTTTTTTAAATCTGAAAAAGGAGTTAAATTCAGGAGCTTGGCGTTTACCCGAGGGCTAATAGTAAGACATAGAGTAAGACATTTCGTGCTAATTTTGAGACCCTTCTACTTGTTTTCCTATCCTATAAGCAAGGTACTAGTTTTTTCCCCATAAAGAACTTGTTCAAAGTGTGACTAAAAATGATGACTTTTAGCGCCTATATCTGTTTTCTAATGCACTGGAACTGTTAAAGCCGAACTTGCAGACATATTTTTAAAACTAAGTAAGTATTTGTCGGCTCAATTTGTTTCGTCCCAGTTTTGTCGGCTTTATTTATTTCGTCCCAGTTTTGTCGGCTTACTTGCCGTTTTACTCCAATTACCTTTTAAATGGTTTCTCGAGGTTTTTCAGCTCTTTTTGAGCAGCGAAAATAAAATTTGACAGGATTTTTTTTGTACACTTAAGCTTTCTGTTCGTACTGAAAAAACATTTGACATTGATGTCTTTTTATCGACTGCCTGTTTTTCCGATTTATTTTTTTTTCGTTTAATGGTGTTTTGCTTAGTTTTTAGCAATTGAGCGTCTAGAATTGGATTTGAACTCTTTCCATGTAAATCGTTTCAAGGTGCTGACACGGCGAATGCGTTGAAAGTATGTCCAAAAGTTTTTTTTTTCATTTCTGAAACTGAACTAATATTATTTGTTTAAATTGGACCTGATTGTTTCATATCTCTGCAGGCATTTGAAGAGTTTTGCACGGCATTTAAGAGAGAGTTTGTTTGCTTCTAGTTGATATTGTTTCTTGATCAATCTTTTTGTTACACTAGCGGGAGCAAGTGTCTAATAAACGGGAACAAGACTGTTTTCCCGTTAATAAATTTTCTTACAAACCTATAAGATGTCGAAGTTGCTTATCAGTGAACCTTAGCAACTTTAAGTCTCCTTATCACTTAGCCTAGCGGTGACACGGTTGCCTTGGTACCCTAAGGTACGCATGAAAGTGATCATTTTTTTCCAGGAAAAATTGAATGATCTGACTTTCGTTTGTCGGATTTTTTTTAGCTTAGTTGTCACATAGGAGAATTTGCTTGTGCTGTCAGAATTTTTAAAATCAAAGATGTACTTGCATTTAATTTACGCCTGTAATTTGTAAAAAATAGCCCGGACGTTGTATATTTTCCTTTCTTTTCTTTCGCTTACAAGCTTTGTTTTATTAACCCACAGTCCTGCTCAATGCAGGACTAACCGTGGAGAAGGTTGATGTCTTTCATTTCGCTGGTTCCCACCATGAAGAGGCGGATGACACTGCGACCCCTCCAACCATGACCTAAGTGGGATTCGAACGTAAGACCTTCGTGTTGAGAGACGTGTGCATAACCCACTCGGCCACGGCTGATTATCTTTAATTGACCAAAATGATTTCGGCATATGTTTTATAGGCTTAGCTACCTTTTGCTTGTGCCGCTTCAAGTCATTGATTTCTTGTTAAATTCACATAGTTTGTTTTGTTATGATTTTAGTTCAAAATGAAACTTGAGGTTAAAGTTATTTTTATCGTTCAGTTTTTAAAATAAAAAACGTTGTTATAAGCCCTTTCTTTTGTAACGATTGCATTATTTTGTTTTTTTTCCATATTTTTCATATTATAAGCAGTTATTACGTTCATTAGTCTTTTTGAAGCACCGGAGGTGCGTTACACACTTCATTTCTGAAATTTATGATTTTTTCAACCTTGAATTTGTTAAGTTTCCTTTTTATGTTCCGTTTTAAAAATTTTTTTCGGCTGTTGTCTGTTTATAATGTATCACTCCATTTTGTTCACTAATTAGCCTCGTTTGGAAAGAAAGTTTTTAAGATCCTTTTGTTTCCCAAGGCAGGTTTCAAAACCAAAAGCTCAAAATTTTTCGTGACACCCATTCGCTTTCGGCTCAATGAGCGTTAACGCTAATATTGTCGCTCGGATGATGCTCTGTTTTTTCTATACTTAACACTCGAATATGAGTTTCGTGGCATGCTTTTTGCGAAATATATTCGCGATATAAAAGTTTTGTAGAAATTTTTCTGAAACGCTAGCCATGCTACTATATTTGTGATGTTTTACATCTGATTTAAAGCTCCCTTTCCTCTTTTTATTTTTCTTACCTTTCTGTATAATTTTCATGTAGCCACAATACCGAGCCTAGCGTTAATTTCAAATCCAATTTTTTCACGAACTCGCGTAAAAATGCTCTTTCTGGTATAACTTTTTAGAATTTTTTCGATACGCTTTGTTGGTGGCTGGTGTAACCTTTAAAAAACTCACATTGGAGAGTTTTTAGTACGGAAAACTCGTAATATCCGGGTCGGCGTTTCGATTCCGGTATGGCAACTGTTTTTTAACCTATTTTTGTTTTTTCCTTTGAGTATTTTTGACTTTTTGAAGCTTCGTTTTACCGTTTTCTTGCTTGTGTTTTCGAAGTGAGGCTTCGCTTCTGTATGGAAAGGGTTGATGTGGCTGTGAAAATTGAAAATTTTGTAGTTCTGAGTTTTGTTAGATTTTCCGCATTTTCTGTTTTTAGTAAATTGAAAGTTTTTGATTCAAATTTTTGACGCTTGCGATTAGCGATTGTTATCAAATCTGAATATAAACTTTTAAGGTTAAAAACTAATTTAAATAAATCACCTAAATCATTCTGCATATCTGTTCTGATGGAAAATCTGGTCAACAGATACACTTGTCGTTCTTTTCGATTTTTTGTTGGTGGTAAACCAGTTAATAATTTTAGTGTTTTCTTTTTTTTGCCCATCAATTTTCTTTTTTTTGAAGCTACTGTTATTTTGGCTTCAATGTTTTCGATTGATGTTATATCTGTTCAGTTACCTCATAATTCATAATGTTTTAAAATTCATTTGTGCTTTGGGATGGGGAAGGATGGCAAAAGTGTTTTTTTTTTAAATTATTTGCAGTTTGATATTTTTTTCTTTAACACTTGTTTAACACTGGCAATTGCGTTTCTTTGCATATTACCGTAAATTGAACTGCACGCGATTCAAAAAATTTACCAAATTTTAAATTCCTAGCCCTATAGTCTGGTGTTCCAGGATGCTCTCAGATATTGCAGATCTTCACTAAAATTGAATTTTGTAATACTATGGCGTGGTGCTGTTAAGGTACCCTGAAGGGTTTTGTATCTGGAGTCCAAATTTGACTTCTCAGCGTTGTTGCTCTCCTATATATGACATTTTTATTTTTCAAAAGTGTGAAAATTTTCAAATGTTAAGTTTCAAAACATATATTTCTTAAGTATGAAATGGTGTGAAATGGTGTTTTTTAACACTATGGCGTGGTGCTGTCAAGGTTCTCTGAAGGAGTTTGTATCTGGAGTCCAATATAGACTTCTCAAAGTTTTTCCGTTCCTTGATATGACATTTTTGAGTTTTCAAAAGTGTGAAAGTCTTCAGTGTTAATTTTCAAAAAATATATATTTTTAAAGTATGAAATGGTCCAGCCTTTGTTGGAGTGATGTCAGGTTATTACCAGCAGTTGCAGATGTCGCCTTCGTACTAAACACAGTAGTTCTGGAGATTAGACCATTTAAGTTTAAAATAAAACTTGATGTTGGAATTGTTTTAATCGTTCAATTTTCAAAATAGAAATCGTTGGAAGCACCCGTCTTTTGTTACGATTGCAGTCTTTTTTTTTTCATATACTTTATATTATAAGCAATTTTCACGCTCATTAATCTGTTTGAAGCAGCTAAATTGTCCAATACCCAGCATTATCTGTGCTCGTTGCTTGACTGAGGCAAGATTTCAAAAAAAAGTAATTGTAACCGGAAGCTGTCAAACTCACGTCAAGTAGTCAACACTTCACTCTTTGTTGAACCTCACTCTTTGTCAAGTCAAGTTCCTTGGATGTGTATTCAAAATAAACTAAGTTCTAAAAGTAATTTTTAAATTTCAGATTATGGACAGCAGTTTTGATAGTGCTGTTTTTGACCTGGACGAGGATGTTGCATCTTTCCTTTATGATGGACGCTACTCAGACATCGAAGAAACGATACTTGAACTGCGAAATGACATTACGGATAGGACGAACTCGATTTTGACGCGCCAGCCGACATTACTTGAAGACACCGAAGCGCTGCTTTCGGAATTGACCAATACAAATCGGGAAGTAGAATCGATATCGAACAAAGTGCTTGGAAGTTTACTACCTGCGTTTGAACTTAATTCAGAAGCAGTTGAAAAGAAATTTGATAGACAAAGGGCACTCGGAATAATCACGCGCTGTTTAACATGCTACTTGAGAACGTCTGAATTGTCTCACAAGTGTAAAAAATTGCTCAAACATGAAAAACTGGAAGCGGCTTCTGAATTTTTTGTTAAGTTAAATCAAGAATTCAAAAATTTTGAATATTTACAATTTACAGATTCAAGACTGTGTACAGAAATTGCCGAAATCAGAGAAGAAATTAAATGTCTATTTGACGATTTATTATTGCGCAATTTTAGGAAGTTTTCCAGTTTTGATGAAAGTACCTTGACGATTGAAAAGGCGAGCGCAAGTTCAGAATGCGTTATGCGAATCGCCGAAAAGACCGATTCTTTCCGAAATCTTTTCAAAGTGCTTAAAACAGAACTTTTTGAAAAGTTTTTCTCGAGTCTATATGAATCGTATCAAATTGAGCGTGCACATGGCAAAACTGCATTGAAGTTCGAATTCAAATGTAAGTCAGATACTAATTCAGTAAAAGAGTCTTTACAAGATGTCACTGGGTTCTTAGAAACCCTAAAAGAGTCATTTTTGGGTTTCACGACATCAGAAATGAGTTTTCTGAGACTTTTTTATGCAAATGAGAGTTATGGTCATCAGCTCACGAAAAGCATTGAAGAACGAATTCTGAAAGCCAAAGTTCCTAAAACGGTCAATGATTTGTACTGTTACGATTACTCGGTCTTAGAGTCTTGCGAATCGACTCTATGTGCATTAGGTGTAGCGAGTGAAAATTGTTTCGCCGAGTTTCGAAAAAGTCTCGAAACGCATTTTGTGACTAGTTTTGTATCTGATGCTCTAGCAGCGTGCAGAAGTCTTACACTTAGTGATTTGTCAGACACGGTGGTAATTGAATGCAGCAGAGTTGATCATGAGTCATCCAAAACTTCACCGAAAAGTGTGATTCCGGCACTAAGTGACGAAAACCGGCACTTTATGCACCGAAGTTTGAATCAGCTTCCAAAAATGTCAATCAGGTGAAAATTTTGCGAGTTACTCATTGGATTGGCCAGATCCTGATTTTTACTTTGAACAACTTCACGAAGAATATTCAGTTACATGTGCTGATGTAATCAATTAGATTTGTTTGAGCTGTTTTGAAAATTGGTTCCTTGTTTGGGCTATTATGAGAATTTAGTATCTCCGTGTGGGGAGCATTGAATATCTCAGTGTGAGGATCAATGAAGATTAACCTATTTTATTATTTTAAACTAAATAAAATACACTAAGTGTCATTTTTATTGGAATAGACTCAAAGTTAGTTACTATTAATCTGAATGCTCTCTAAAATTGACTTGTTTCAGTCTCTCAGTGCGCAAGTTATCACAGCATATTCACCACTGCATCGAGCAAGCATCGCTTCTTAAAAGTGAAACGAACGCGACCTTTCTCCTCCAGTGTAGTTTAGATCTCATGACCATGTACTGCAATTTGACCACCGCATACCACGAGTCCAGCTCTGCAATCCAAGTGCCATACATAAATGCAGTGCAGTACAATAACCTCATGTTCATGGCACAAAAGTGTGTCTTCTATGGACTGGTGCCCCTGCAATACAAACAAGGAGTAGTTTGTGCTAGTTTGGGAGTGACTGTAGCTACATTCCTGCAGTTTGTTCCAGTTTTGAGACACAAAGCGGAGTCTTTATTTAAAGTAAGAAAGTTATGACTTTAATTACGTTTTCTCATGCTGCTGCTATTCTAATTGATAGAGGACAAAATTAATTATGCCACAATTGTGTGCGAGTGATATTCACACCTGCGTGAGCGAGTGTATTGTAATCAGGCACTAGACTTTCTTTCCTGTAAACAACTTATCTCAAACATCTGTCAGAAATTGAACTTGCTTTATTATTGAATGTTCACAACTTCGAGGCTTCTTCCCTCTTGGTCTAGAGGTAAAGCGGTTGCCTTTGCATTCTAAGGTCTTGGTTTTGAGACCCGGCCGGATCTTGTTTTTGTTACACTATAAATGAAAACAGCTCAAACATTTATTGTTACACTATAAATGTCGGACTTTTGTTTGTATGTTTATGTTTTGTCGAATTAGTTGCCACATCATGGTGTTGTAAGTAGTTTTTCAGAGTAATGAACGTTGTGAGTACTCGTATATAGGTCATGCTGATTTTTTTTTATTTCAGGAAAAAGTCTTAAAATTTGTTCACGCTCAATTTTGATTTTTCGCGGTTTGGTTTGTGATGTCTTTGCAATTTCAGTGCATTTCCATTGTTAAAAGGAAGGCAAACTCCACTATCGAAGGGCAAAAGTGTAAAGGTCACGAAAAACCTGATCGACTTCTAATTTCCAAATTGGAAATTAAATATCAGATTTCCCAGCGAAATAAGTTTTTGCCTATTGATACAGTTTTCTCAAATTGGTTTGATTTTAACAAAAAAGTGTCCATCATAAATCGTTCTACAATTTCAAAGAGCTTTAAGGCCATCAAATTTTGAATATTTACAATTTACAGATTCAAGACTGTGTACAGAAATTGCCGAAATCAGAGAAGAAATTAAATGTCTATTTGACGATTTATTATTGCGCAATTTTAGGAAGTTTTCCAGTTTTGATGAAAGTATCTTGACGATTGAAAAGGCGAACGCAAGTTCAGAATGCGTTATGCGAATCGCCGAAAAGACCGATTCTTTCCGAAATCTTTTCAAAGTGCTTAGAACAGAACTTTTTGAAAAGTTTTTCTCGAGTCTAAATGCATCGTATCAAATTGAGCGTGCACATGGCAAAACTGCATTGAAGTTCGAATTCAAATGTAAGTCAGATACCAATTCAGTAAAAGAGTCTTTACAAGATGTCACTGGGTTCTTAGAAACCCTAAAAGAGTCATTTTTGGGTTTCACGACATCAGAAATGAGTTTTCTGAGACTTTTTTATGCAAATGAGAGTTATGGTCATCAGCTCACGAAAAGCATTGAAGAACGAATTCTGAAAGCCAAAGTTCCTAAAACGGTCAATGATTTGTACTGTTACGATTACTCGGTCTTAGAGTCTTGCGAATCGACTCTATGTGCATTAGGTGTAGCGAGTGAAAATTGTTTCGCCGAGTTTCGAAAAAGTCTCGAAACGCATTTTGTGACTAGTTTTGTATCTGATGCTCTAGCAGCGTGCAGAAGTCTTACACTTAGTGATTTGTCAGACACGGTGGTAATTGAATGCAGCAGAGTTGATCATGAGTCATCCAAAACTTCACCGAAAAGTGTGATTCCGGCACTAAGTGATGAAAACCGGCACTTTATGCACCGAAGTTTGAATCAGCTTCCAAAAATGTCAATCAGGTGAAAATTTTGCGAGTTACTCATTTGATTGGCCAGATCCTGATTTTTACTTTGAACAACTTCACGAAGAATATTCAGTTACATGTGCTGATGTAATCAATTAGATTTGTTTGAGCTGTTTTGAAAATTGGTTCCTTGTTTGGGCTATTATGAGAATATAGTATCTCCGTGTGGGGATCATTGAATATCTCAGTGTGAGGATCAATGAAGATTAACCTATTTTATTATTTTAAACTAAATAAAATACACTAAGTGTCATTTTTATTGGAATAGACTCAAAGTTAGTTACTATTAATCTGAATGCTCTCTAAAATTGACTTGTTTCAGTCTCTCAGTGCGCAAGTTATCACAGCATATTCACCACTGCATCGAGCAAGCATCGCTTCTTAAAAGTGAAACGAACGCGACCTTTCTCCTCCAGTGTAGTTTAGATCTCATGACCATGTACTGCAATTTGACCACCGCATACCACGAGTCCAGCTCTGCAATCCAAGTGCCATACATAAATGCAGTGCAGTACAATAACCTCATGTTCATGGCACAAAAGTGTGTCTTCTATGGACTGGTGCCCCTGCAATACAAACAAGGAGTAGTTTGTGCTAGTTTGGGAGTGACTGTAGCTACATTCCTGCAGTTTGTTCCAGTTTTGAGACACAAAGCGGAGTCTTTATTTAAAGTAAGAAAGTTATGACTTTAATTACGTTTTCTCATGCTGCTGCTATTCTAATTGATAGAGGACAAAATTAATTATGCCACAATTGTGTGCGAGTGATATTCACACCTGCGTGAGCGAGTGTATTGTAATCAGGCACTAGACTTTCTTTCCTGTAAACAACTTATCTCAAACATCTGTCAGAAATTGAACTTGCTTTATTATTGAATGTTTACAACTTCGAGGCTTCTTCCCTCTTGGTCTAGAGGTAAAGCGGTTGCCTTTGCATTCTAAGGTCTTGGTTTTGAGACCCGGCCGGATCTTGTTTTTGTTACACTATAAATGAAAACAGCTCAAACATTTATTGTTACACTATAAATGTCGGACTTTTGTTTGTATGTTTATGTTTTGTCGAATTAGTTGCCACATCATGGATTTTTCTTGTGTTGTAAGTAGTTTTTCAGAGTAATGAACGTAGTGAGTACTCGTATATATGTCATGCTGATTTTTTTTTATTTCAGGAAAAAGTCTTAAAATTTGTTCACGCTCAATTTTGATTTTTCGCGGTTTGGTTTGTGATGTCTTTGCAATTTCAGTGCATTTCCATTGTTAAAAGGAAGGCAAACTCCACTATCGAAGGGCAAAAGTGTAAAGGTCACGAAAAACCTGATCGACTTCTAATTTTCAAATTGGAAATTAAATATCAGATTTCCCAGCGAAATAAGTTTTTGCCTATTGATACAGTTTTCTCAAATTGGTTTGATTTTAACAAAAAAGTGTCCATCATAAATCGTTCTACAATTTCAAAGAGCTTTAAGGCCATCAAATTTTGAATATTTACAATTTACAGATTCAAGACTGTGTACAGAAATTGCCGAAATCAGAGAAGAAATTAAATGTCTATTTGACGATTTATTATTGCGCAATTTTAGGAAGTTTTCCAGTTTTGATGAAAGTACCTTGACGATTGAAAAGGCGAACGCGAGTTCAGAATGCGTTATGCGAATCTTCGAAAAGACCGATTTTTTCCGAAATCTTTTCAAAGTGCTTAGAACAGAACTTTTTGAAAAATTTTTCTCGAGACTATATGAATCGTATCAAATTGAGTGTGCACATGGCAAAACTACATTGAAAGTCAGATACTAATTCAGTAAAAGTCTTTACAAGATGTCACTGGGTTCTTAGAAACCCTAAAAGAGTCATTTTTGGGTTTCACGACATCAGAATTGATTTTTCTGAGACTTTTATGCAAATGAGAGTTATGGTCATCAGCTCACGAAAAGCATTGAAGAACGAGTTCTGAAAGCCAAAGTCCCTAAAACGGTCAATGATTTGTACTGTTACGATTACTCGGTCTTAGAGTCTTGCGAATCGACTCTATGTGCATAAGGTGTAGCGAGTGAAAATTGTTTCGCCGAGTTTCGAAAAAGTCTCGAAACGCATTTTGTGACTAGTTTTGTATCTGATGCACTAGCAACAGGGAGAAGTCTTACACTTAGCGATTTTTCAGACACGGTGGTAATTGATTGTAGCAGGGTTGATCATGAGTCATCCAAAACTTCACCGAAAAGTGTGATTCCGGCACTAAGTGACGAAAACCGGCACTTTATGCACCGAAGTTTGAATCAGATTCCAAAAATGTCAGTCGAAAATTTTGCGAGTTACTCATTTGATTGGCCAGCTCCTGATTTTTACTGTGAACAACTTCACGAAGAATATTTTAGTCACATGTGCTGATGTAATCAACTAGATTTGTTTGAGCGATTTTGAAAATTGGTTCCTTGGTTGTTTTGTGATGTCTTCGCAAGTTCAGTGCATTTCCATTGTTAAAAGGAAGGCCAACTCTACTATCAAAAGGCAAAAGTGTAAAGGTCACGAAAAACGTGATCGACTTCTAATTTCCAAATTGGAAATTAAATATCAGATTTCCCAGCGAAATAAATTTTTGCCTATTGATCCAGCTTTCTCAAATTGGTTTAATTCTAACAAAAAAGTGTCCATCATAAATTGTTCTACAATTTCAAAGAGCTTCAAAGCCATCTATTTTTTCTTCGAAATTCAAAAGTTGAAGGTTTTTGAAAAAACACGTCAGTTTTTTTTTCAGTTTCCTTACGTTAAAATTACTCGTTTCCAACTGTCAGTTAGCTTTGTTCATTGTAGTTGCAAATATGGCTGATTTACTTGTAATCTGTCAATTTTTATAGACCTGACTTTTTCATGCTATATTTGGCCTAAATTTTTTCCAATTAAGTTTTTTCGGAGTATTCAAATTCGTTTGAAGAACAAAATTGAGCGTTATTTGAAAAATGATTGAGATTGGTCGCGGTGTAAAATTTTTTTATGAAAATATTTTTAAACGGCATTGTTTTGTGTCGATTCAATGCGCTTCTGCGCACTTATTGTTGGCTTACTGCCCGCCTGTAATTGCCAAATGGTTAAATTACTACGAAAATTAATTACTACGAAATACTTATTTTCCTATTTAGTTTTTTTGTTTGCTAGTTTGCAATTCTATGTTTGCGTTGTATCACAAGTGATGCCAAGCTCCGCTTTGCCTCTGTGTAATTCTTGTCCATTCGGGCAATACTTGATTACCAGAAGAGTTTGGCAGAAGAGGCTTAAGTGTAAAAGAACGAAGTGATTGCCAGTTATATTGGTCGTTTTAGTTTCTTTTCTGTTTATTGAAAGCCGATGAACCTAGTTCAGAGTCTTATATAGGTCGTGATATTTTTTGCTTTTTTCAGGAAAAGTCTGAAATTTGTTATTGAAATGTGATTTTTTTGCGTTTTAACTTTAGCTTTATGTTCAGTTCATTTCCCTTCTTAAAAAGAAGACAAATTCCACTATTGAACAGCAAAAAAGTTAAGGTCACAAAAAACGTGATCGAGTTCTTGTGTCGAAAAGGGAATTTAATTTATTGAATTTTATTTTCCTAGCAAAATGTACAAAAAAAATAAATATTGATCCACTTTTCTATTCAAATTGGGTTAATTTTATCTAAAAAGTGTCAACAAAATCAACGAGTTTTAAGACCACCTGTTTTTTTCTAGAATTGTATCTGCAGACAGCGCGACTCACTTAGAGACCCTCTGACAGAACCAGCTCTATTTCCAGCCCTAGCTTCAAATTTACTCCCAAACGGGCGTATCGAGCCCACACAGTTAGAGAATCCATTTCAGAAATGTTTCCATCAACTTGACAAAATATTGTCATCTGTGAAACCCCCCGTTTTGTCAGTTAACAAATACAAACTCGCAATCACTTATTTGCTCGATTATATCTTGAAGTTTGTTGTCAGTTACTGTGTGAAACTCGAAGATATAACAACTAATGACGCCAAAGTTATCGATCGCATTTTAGAAATGGTAGAAACTGAAAGTGAAAAGGTTGTTACAAGAATTCTTCATGCGAACTTTGAACTAGAGGTCGCTGTGAGCGAAAGTGAACTCTGTCAGTTTTACGACCAAGTTCTGCCAGAATTTCGTCGTCTTAAATGGGTACAGAAACTGATGGGAACTTCTCTGTTGAGCATACAAGCTGACTATGCTTCTGAAAATTGTAGTTTGAGAAACCACATATCAGTAGATGAAGTGAAAAGTTTGATCAGAGCTCTGTTTCAGAATACAGAAATAAGGGCAATGGTTATAAATTCTATTAAGTGATTCAATTAAATGTTATAAATGTGTTTATTGTACAGTAAATATAGAATAAAGGGGATTGTGTTGATTAAATAATCGTATAAAAGAGGTTAGAATCAACAGCGTTTTCATCATAGCAACATCTTCAGGCATCATGTCGTGCGTGAAATGAGTGTGGGAAAAAATCATAAACTGAAGAGGGAAATGTGAAAAAATAGCTTTGGTGATTAAAACAGCTGATAAAAACGTTTTTTTTTTCGGTTGACGGTTTTTTTTCGGTTTTCGAATTAGATGATACAGCATTTTTTAGCGCAATTAATTTAAGTTATGCAAAGGAGCCTTTTATTGCATTCAACGGAACGAATTAGATGTAGAACCGTTTATCCTGGCTCTATTGCTTTTTCCAACAAAGGAGAGAAGTAACAGGGTAATCATGGATAATACATGATTGGGAACCGGGAACCTCTGGTCTCATAAATAGTCACCCCTTTTTACACTATTTTAAGAAATTCTTTTTAATCTAATCCTTAATATTTTCTAATGGCGCTGATTGTTAGAGGGGCATTTGATTGAACGTTTTGAATGAAACAAAAAGTCTATTTCTTAAAATGGGTCTGCAATTTTTTGAAAATCGGCTCCGAAAATACTAGTTCGAGAAAATACTAGTTCCGTGCTGTGAGTAGTTTGCAGTATATAGATTGCCACTAGCCATAAAATGATCGTCTCTAGGCGTCTGTGGGTCAGTTGGGGAAAATGACATCGGATTATTTTTCAGGATTTGATTAGAAGCCGCTTTGGCAACTTAGCTTTTCATACCGTTTGTCCGGGAAAGTTTTCTTTGTTAAACAAAATAATCTGAACCAAGAATTTTCAAATGGTCGCATCAAAAGTCTAGATAAAAATTGCCCTTAATTGAAGTAATTTTTATATGGAATTTTGGATGCTGCGACACAGGGGCGCGCTTAAGGCGTGAAAAAATTCTCCCTGCGGATTGTGAAACCTAGTTACTCAAAGCATCTCCAATCGATATAATTATACTATCCATTTTGAGCCGACGGACCGGTAAAATTTTCTAAGGGTGTCTACGATACCAATATGCTAATTTTGAAAGGATGAGGCCCCCACAGAAAAGTGATTTTTTGGTCACACAAAAAAACCCGACAACTGTATTTTAGTTCATTTTTACAAATTTGCGAGTTCAGAAAAGAATGGTCGACCTAAGAAAAAAGTTTCAAGAGAAAGTCTTAGGAACGGTGCTTGGACTGGAAACGTTTAAGAAGATATGGCAAAATATTGTGGATGATTTTTGAAAAAGTACTGATTTGTCTTTTTTTCATGCCAATGTTTTTCTTCACTGTTCGTATCACAAATTAACCGGGCTCTTGGCTGTTAATTTTTTCTTCAGATTGTAATATGCCAATAGGAATGGAAAGTTCAAGCGAAAATGCATTAGCTCCAGACACGCCAATGCATGCCGAATCGAATGGAGTGAAGAAACAACGAAGACGACACCCGAAGAAGCCGAAAGATATTCTGGACGAGCCGAGAAGAGAATCTTCGCGTCCAATCAGACAGAAGGTGCAGTCGGCCGAAACCGAAAGTGTGTCGAATGAGAAAGAGAATGTGAAAGAGAAGAGCTGTGGGAATGACTCTGAGTATGACGAAGCTGATGAGGAAGTGGAAGATATTTTGGAGAGAGTGACTTACGAAGACGGAAATGTGAGTCTTGAACATTTTTAAGGTAAAATAGAAAACTTTTAGATGGACCATAATTTTTGGTCAGATGGTGCATTAATAGTTGGTTCAATAGTTCATAATTTGTTCAAACTTTCTATTAAAGTTTTGTTAATTGGTGTAAGACTTCGAATCTCAAATCTGTAACTGAATATTAATTATTTGAGCTATTGATGTTGAATCGTTTTCACAATCTTAAACTAAAAGTGATAAGTCTAATTGTTGTGATAAATTGATAAAGAAATAGATTTGATAATATATGACGAACTGGATAAAGATTTGGACAGTCCTTATCTACGACGGGTTTTTTGGTAGCCCAGTTAAGGAAAGAACATTCCAGGAAACTTCTGACAAGAAATTCGAAAATATCAACTGAATGGGCGGATTGCCATGTAAATTGTGATATCTGTACTGACAGTTCAGAAACAATAGAAAATGGAAAAAAAACTTGTTTTGTCTGCAAGCTCCGATCATTTGAAAAATGCGGAGAAACTTTGAATTCGTGTGTTTTAGTTTTGTTTTTCTTTTATTTTCCACGCGCAATCAGCTTCATCAAATAGTCGTCGGAGAGTAATGTTATTTTTATCATAATAAAGCCCTTTCACTCATGATGTGAACGACCTAAAGCATTTTAAAAGTTCTCAGTGTCGAGAAAAACCGGTCTGAAATGTTTTGTTTTTCGTCTGAGTTCGAGTGAATAAAGCGAGCGAGCAGGCTTACAATGGCTTACATCAATGGCTTAAAAGCTTGCAAGAGCCTAATTTAGACCGCAAAAACTTAATTTTACTCGCGTAAAATAAGATTTCTTGGAGTATTTGAGCGCTTTATGGGAATCAAAAAGTTCGAAAATTGATATAAATATTTTAAAATTTTTTTGTCGTTTTAGTCATTTTTCTACAAAACTTGTTTTCCAATTTGCTTGTTTTACTATTAATTCTGAATACGCGGAAGCTCTTTTTTTTCAGATCCTTTTTTTTCACAACTGGCGGGAAAAAAAGATAACACTGAAGAAACTTTTTAATTGAAATATTTAAGACTATGGTCGGAATATTCTGTGCTACTTGCTCAGTTATTGAAAGTCCTAGTTATTATTGGCGTTTCCTTCATTGGAAATATGGTAGGTTGATAAGTTGGACCTTTACAAGATGCACAGAAACTGGAACGACACAAACTATTTGATGATGATGAAGAAGATGTTGATGATGATGATGATTTTGATGGTGATGGTGGTGATGATGATGTAAAAAAGTGATGTGTTTGTTAAGGTCTACTTCCGGATCCGGTGGAAAGGGTACGGCCCGGAAGACGACACCTGGGAGCCGAAAAAGAACCTGGACTGCCCCAAACTGATCGAGGAGTTTGAAAGATGGCGAGTGGAACAGAAGGCCAAAGCCAAGAAAAACGGAACCTACGCCAAGAAAAAGGCGTAAGTAAACATCACATCTTGAAAACGTTTGGATTTTTGATCGCTGCCATGGCCTACGTTGCACTAGCTCAAAAAAAACGAGAGATAGATGATTTTTACCATACAGTGTTATAAATATATAATCAGCACTCGGTAATTTAGGAAAAATTATACGGGAAGGGCCAATATACGAGCTGTTTTTGGTTCATTTTTTTTGTCTGGGTAATGTTCCTTCATCAACCAACGAGCACGGATCATGTTGGGCCTCGAACCAGCTACCTTTCTTTAAAGATGCGGAGTTTTAAGCACTCCGCCGCCTCTCCCCTAAGTTGGACGATCTGAAATTTATGAGCATGTCTAAAATTCTGGATTTTTATGTCAGTTATCGATAATTTGTTGACTCATTCCAATGTCTGAAGTAATGTTTTTCAGTGAAAGCCGATACACTCTTGGAGACAGCGATGACCATTTCACCATGCCCTACGGGTTCGCAAGAGGCTTGGAGCCAAAGGAAATTGTGGGTGCAAGTGACGACGGAGGGAAACTTAAATTCCTGATGAAGTGGGTCGATGGACCCCAGACGGACATCGTCTTAGCTGAAGAAGCCAATGTGAAATGTCCACAGATTGTAATCAGTTATTATGAAAAGTTTTGGGGTTGGAGTGACCGTAAGCCGAATGGATATTGGGCAGATGAAGAGGAGTTTGAAGCAAGGCGAAAAGACGCCACTAAAAAGATTTCAGAGAATGCACACGTAGAGAACGGATTGAATAAAGAAAATATTTCAAGTCGAAGTGGAGCTGCTATTAAATGAGAGACACTTTGAATTTTTTGGATTTAACTTCGAGCAGCTGAAATTTTGTTTCTGCTTTTATTTTTTTTGTTGAGAAATTGTTTGTAATACTGATGTTTGTTTTAGAATTAAAGTTTTTGGCCGTTTTTACCCGAAACTTTTTTTCAATGGATATTTTAGATGCAAGTTTTTGTTTTCTTTGCAGATAGAGGTTCCTTAAGGTATCCATCGTAGTAATTGGTGTGTAAGCTTGAACCTCAATCTTAAATGCATATTTCCTTTCTTGTAGATCTGAACTTTTCCTACCTTTCAGATTTTGAAATTGAACTTCGGCCGTGACTGTAAGAAGACGATATTGATCTAAAATGGGGGAGCCTACAGAGGTTGACAAGAAACTTCTGTCTCTTATCAAGGGGCTGGACCTCAACAACTACCCATTCGATGTAAATTCTAGAAATTCTTCTTTTCGTGTCGCAATTTTCTGAAAACATATTTTATTGCGCATCATGAATTTCAGCGAAAGTTTTAACAAGGTTTAAGTTCAAATTGGTTTGTAGGAGGCTGTAGTTACTGCAAACATTTTTGTGTTATGCAGGAAATTTTGGAGATTCATTGTTTTTTTTACAAATATGTTCATAATGATCATGAGTTTTGAGTGTAGGTGGAGTCCACAGTGCCTAATGGCCAGCTGGAACACCTGAAGAGGTGTGAACGACTCAATTTGAAGCGCAATGGACTTCACAAGCTACCAGAACCCATATGTGAACTCATCGAACTGGTAAGTAACAGATGCTGGAGTTCAAAAGGAATACATGGATAATGATGAGTTTTATGTATATTAGTGACCTCCTTAGAAGGAAAGCATCGGTGTTTCGTTGCATGAGAAGTTATTTTTCAAAAAAAATGCTTAATGTGTTGGGCTTGAATCGAATCAATATATCTAAGTGATGCAAATATCCAATATGAAATTTATCCAATAAAGCTCAAAAATCTCAATGAAAATCTAAGTAGGTACAAGTTAAGTCACAACGAGTGTAATTTAAATCTGGATTGCTTTTCATTTCAGGAGTACCTCTCATTGGCGTACAACAAGATCAGCGAAGTGGACGAGACGTTCGCCGATTTGTCACCGGACTCTTTGAAAGTGCTGGACTTGAGATGGAACAGACTTAACAGCAGTCTGGCCTCCAGCGACCACCTGAGTCATCTGTCCAACCTGAGTGTGTTAGATCTGAGTTGTAATGCGATTGGGATTGTGCCATCGTTTCTGGAGAAACTGAAGCAGCTCACTTATCTGTCTTTGAAATCCACCAAGTTGGTAACAGTATCTTGTTCTCTTTATTTCAATTGGTCAAAAGTACATGCCGTTCAAAAAAGGTTCAAACGAACTAAGTTATGGGCAAAATAGTCATGAAATGATACCAGAATGGTTAATTGTTTTAGCTAAGACTCGCAAAAATTAAACTTTAAAGGAAACATAGCAAGATTTAAGCTTGGAATAGAACATAAGATTGACCATAAATACTGTGAAGTAGTGACAAATCACAGCTCCTCTTATACTTCAGAATAACAGCTGTGCCACCAACAATCTTCATCTCCTTGACTAACTTGAACTTTCTGGACTTGAGCGACAATGAGCTGGATGCCATGCCAGTCCAACTGAGACGACTGACTAGTCTGAAAACACTAATGCTCGGTAACAATCCAGCACTAGCCAGCAGCAACCTCAAGTAAGAGATACCTATAGAAAATCTAGATTGAATTCGGAGGCGGAATGGTCTTTCTGAAAAAACAGAAAAATATTAGCTTTTATTGATTTTTACGGGCTAGTTGATAAAATTGTTTTTATTACAATCGTCAATAATACCAATAAAATGAATAAATTATGCATGAATTGAATAATTTCATCAAGTTTTTTATTGAATTAAAAAACAAGCTCGTTTAAATTACTCAAATTATGGATAAAATATTCGTTTCCTTGGTAATTTTGACAATTCTTATACCTAATTTACCACTTAGCTTATAAAAGTTAATATTTTTGTTTTTCTGCTCTTGACCCATTCTGCCCTTAGACCATTCTGCTTATTGACTGGCCAACATATTCTTATAACAGATGGCATGTCTCTGGTTGTAGTTTTTTGCAGCGACCAGTCGTGATGTCAATAAGAATCAAATATTCAGAGATTTTCGATCAGAAGCTGATTGTCAACGAAAAATTTGATGCTGTTATTTTAGACAGATTTCGGCATTAACTGCGCTGGAAGTGTTGCATTTGAGGAATACGGGAAGAACCATAGACAATTTTCCACAAGAGCTCTCCAAGTGTCCAAACTTATACGGTAAGCAAATTGTAAAAGCTCAAGTCGTGACTTTTATCAAATGCCACTTCACTACGTGGAAATTGGAGCAAGCTCGGATAGAGAAGTAATTGTTTGAAATTAACATATTTTCGTTTAGATTTGGACATCAGTGAGAATGATCTTTCGTCAGTGCCTAACAGTCTTTTTGAGTGTGGCTCCTTGAAGAGATTAAACATCAGCAACAACTCAATATCAGAGCTGCCAGAGTCATTCGGTAGGAGCTGATCTACTCTTCTTTGAGAATATATGTTAATTTTATGTCAATTATGCTAGTTTTCTTGTTGTTACGTAGACGTTTTGATCCATCTGGAAACGTTGTCATTGTCAAGAAATAATATCTGCAAACTGCCGGTAAGACATGACTAATCAAACGCCAAAAAATCCCTTTCCAAATTTTTTAATTGAAGGCATCCTCTGGAAATTTTGACTCAATTAAACAAAGAATACGAACATAAAAATGTTTTTGAAAATTTGCGAAGTGCGCGATGTCCTTAATCAGATCTGTTTCAGATCGGTTTCGGGAAGCTTCTGAACCTGCGGAATCTGTATCTAGATAGTAACCAGGTGACTTTAGACGGACTGTTGAACTGCAACTTGGGCAAGCTGAGCAGCCTAGAGATATTCTCAGCGGCATTCAACCAGTTGCAGTCTGTGCCTGAAGCACTTTGTAGATGCACGCGCCTGAAGAAATTGAACTTGATGTACAATAAGCTGGTCAATCTGCCAGAGTCCATACATTACCTCAATCTACAGGTGGGTTTTCCATCACCACTGAATTTTTTGACAGATTGACATTATTGTTAAAACTGAAAACCTTTCTTGCAGAGCGGTTTTTATGGAAATCCTTATATCTTGAATGTTATAGCCTCACAATTTTCGTGCTTGCCTTTCGTTGATTGTTATGGAAAATCATACTGAGCAAGTGATTGTTGTTTTTTGTCCCATGGTGAAAACACAAAGGCTCAATGTCAGTTTCAATTGCAAAGGTTTTTAAAGAGTTCAACTTATTGCTCCGACCATTGCAAATGGGGAGGAACTTTGCATTCGGATGTTTTACTTTTTTTTGCACACACACACAAATAATTATCATTATGGGTCGAGTGATATATCATATTAAGTAGCGCTCGTTATATGGAAATTTGTCATATTGTATACATTTTAATGCTAAAAAATTGCTTTTTGGTTTGTGTTTTTACTAGGTTTCGATCTTTCATTAAGCGCTTAAATGGCAAATAATGTTTTCAAAAAAAAATTTGATAAGTTGTACAAAATTTTTTTGAAGGCAAATATTGTAGATCATGCCTAATTGACTAGTTTCTACGCGATCTTATAATTCTCAAATCACACCACGCACTAAAAACGACGCTTCCCTTGAAGAAATTTTAATATGATCGGAACGTTCTGTGCTACTTGCTATCCACCCGGCTACATTTGTTGATAGTTTGTTTCGTTCATTTAAAAACGACTCTTTAATTTTGAAGGACCTGAATGTGAGTGAAAATGCGAACCTAGTGATGCCTCCGAAACACACAGCAATGAGTGAGGCTGAATCGAAGGCAGCACTCTTCTACAACATTGACTTCTCAGTGGCACACCAGCTGGCCAAGGCAAAGCTGGAGCAGAAGGGAGAGAGGGTGATGAGCCAGTCTTCGTCTGTAGACAGTGTCAGTGGCTCATTCAGCCGAAACAGTGAGTGCAACACACACTGACTAGTGTTTACACTTGCGACAAGGAAGGGTATTGGCATCGGGTACTAGACTTTCTTCCCGTAAATAAATTTGTTCATAGGATGATTGAAATTGTGGTCATCTCCATCTCTATTTTCGTCAACGAACAGACAGATGGAGAACAGGCAATTTTGAACATGTATACATTTTAAATGCCCGTTCGATTCGAAGTTTTAAATGTTGGTTGTAGATCTACCGATTTCAGTATATCAGTTTTTTCTTTTCATTATTAGTTTTTATTTTTATTCGGCTTAGAAGCTTTTGGCGTATAATGTACCGGCTAAGAATTGTTGAAGACCCTTTTTTGAGTTAACTTTATTTGTCCTCAAACAAATGTTTTCTAATAAAAACATTTTTTTTTCGGCTTAGCGTGTGTGTGGTCAAGAATTGTTAGCTTTTTTTACCGCCTCATAAGTTTTGTATCGATGCTTATTCAACTTTTGAGTGTCTTATTTGTGGCATATTTTCATGCAAGGAACTTTCATCGAAGAGAAATTCAAGACAAATATAGGAATATTTTGATAGATCAATTTTTTCGAATTTTTTTCGACGGCTTAAATCTCTATTTTTGTCGGTTAGTGTGCCATGCTTTGTGTAGCTTTTATCGCATGCAGTGCGATGCTTTGCTTCGCGTCTCTTTGTAAAACTTATAATGGTGCAGGTTTTCAGTTCCAAGATCTCGGATGTTTATGCAAGTAGTGGCAGTCATTCATTTTTCTGTCGCAAGTGATGCGAAGCGCTGCTTCACCCCTGTCACGTTTTTCAAACACCCTTCAAGTTCCAAGTTCAATTTTGGAAAGAAAGAATTTTTCTCCAATTAAGTACATCATGATAACAACAAAATAAACAAGTAGGTAAACAAACAAGGATAGCAGGTTACTGTTCAAGTAATGTTCCGACCATAATCTTATTAAATCATACAACAAAAAAGTTTTTTCAAATAATGTTTTTTTTCGGCGTGGTGTGATAAATGGAGCTGAAAAAAAAACTGGGGAAGATTAGGCATATTCGACAGTCATAGTAAAATAAGCAAATTGAAAAACATTTTTTGTAGAAAAATGACCGGAAAAACAAAATCAAAATTTTTTTTTTTGCTGTTTTACTTATCATTCCAAAAAGGCGCGTAAATACTAAAAAAAACTAACGTTATTCGAATAAATTTACGTTTTAAATTAAACTATATTAAGCTTTTAGGCCATTAATCTAAGCTATTGCAAGTCTGCTCGCTCGCTTTATTCGTTCGAATGAAGACGAAAATCCAAAAATTTCTAACAAGTTATTCTCAGCTTATTACTCAGCTTTCTCCGATGATTATATGTGGTAGCTGATTTTGCGTGGAAAAGAAAATAAACGCACCCGAGTTAAAAGGTCCTCGCCATTTTTCAAATGGTCGGAACAATAATATTTTTCAATGAAGTTAAGCCACTGAGAGCCTACCCTTTTATTTTTATCTAGTCAGAAAGACTCTCAAATACACTCTCAAACCATGCTGAGCTCCTGTCATACCACCATAGAAAAAATAAAGAAAAAAGGAGAAAAGAACCTCTTGCAAATGTTTTGTTTTCTTGAAGATATTTTTTTTGCTTTGAAATGGAACATGATCTCAATATGTATCTCAAGAATGCAGTAATATGCCTTGAGACTGGTGCGGCCTAAGCTTGAGCGCTCAAAAAAGAAGTAGGCGTTTTCAGTATTTTAATATGAAATAGGCAGATACATTTGGAGTTTTCATGACCATATGCGCAGCAAAAGGCTTTTTATAACGGCTTCGGCGATGGGGGATAAACTTACTTAGCTTTGACTGTATATTTTTTTGAGAATGGGAATATTGTAATAATTTTTGAGTTTTCATCACTAGGATCTGGCAGTACCGGTGCAGGAGGCGGTGGCAACCGTAAACTTCGGATCCAGAAGCGGAAGGAGGAAGAGGCAGGCAGTTCGGATGCAGCCAAAGTGCTTTCGGCTATGCGTAAAGTGGCGGAGGACAGCAAGAGTGCGGATGTGGAGAAGACGAATAAGCTGGCGGAGGACTTCGAGGAACACGTCTCAAAGTAAGTAAATTGCTGACTAAAAATTGATGAAAACATGGAATAGTAATTGAGCGCGGAATACATCCATGTTATGTGGGGATGCGTCGTGAATTTATTTTCTCTACATGGTAGGTGCATCCCTCAGAATTGAAACAGAACAGCTGAACCAACAAATAAAGACTTGAGATTTTTCGGACAAGTACTTCAATTATACTTATTTTTTGTGTCGAATAAAGATCATTTTAAATGACGTGTTTCAGTTGTCTAGTTGTGACTGTGTATGCGATAAATTTGGGATACAATTTATGCGTTTCAGACCACTTCGGTGGGACGAGAGACTTAGTGGGCCCCAGATAGACTACAGCAACTACTTCGAAGAGGAAATTGGGAATGACGAAGGAGTCCACGTCTGGTACATCTCCAACTTCGCTCCTGTGCAATTAGGTTGGTAGTTAGCAGCGCAAGTCGACTATTTTCAAGGTTAAACCCTAGGGGCTATGTTTTTGAAACCTTTTTGTGGAGTTCACTTAGAAGTTGATCTTACGAAGAATTTTCTTTGACTCAGCAAAATGTTTGACAATTAAGCACTATCAAGCTTTGATATGCACTGTTTGAGGTCATATTTATTATATGATAGATTCATGCCGTTCTAGCATCCATAAACGCTACAATTTAAACATGAGTGAATGACAGAATGCATTTCTTCTGAAAGAAAGATTTTATCTCTTCACTGAGTTTTAATGCAATACTATTAGTCTGACTGATCTGAGCATACTGTGTATGGTCATTTGCACTCATAGGACATCGCACCGTTTAGCCTAGAGGCGGAAAAGCTCAAACAGATTTATTTTTCTGCCTTTGATTTCAAGTAGTCTTAACTGTTCATCGGACGTTTTGCGTTTAGATGAAGAGGATATCGGGAAGTTTCATGAGAAGGATTGCTACATTGTTTTGAGGGTAATTTGATTTTTTTCATGTGATTTAACAAAGATTTCAATCTGACACTTGCGCTTAATTTTAATTGATTGGTCTGTTTCCAGAACCTCTCCACTGGCTCGGATATCATTAACACTATCTACTTCTGGATCGGAAAAGACGCAGAGGTTATTATGCTATAGTTTAACTAGTTTAAAGTCCTAGATTCCGAAGCGACCATGTTAATTTATAATCTGAAGCGACCATGTTAAAATATAATCTTCATAGATTGTATGATATCCGTATGTGTTTGATTTCGGATGTTTTCTAGCAAGACAAGCAAACATGTGTAGCGATACATGCAGTGAACCTCCGCAACTGCATCAAAGCATCATGTCGGACTATTCGAGAAGACCAAGACGAAGAAAGCGAGGAGTTTCTCTCGGTTTTCGTCGGATCATTCTATGACTTCCAGATATTAGATGGCAAGAATCTTTTCACTTTATTAAGAGTTATGAACGTAGTGAAGACTCTTATATAGGTCTTGCTGATTTTTTTTTTCGTTTTTTTTTCAGCTAAAGTCTTGAAAGTCTAAGAACTACAGATGTGCATTCGTAAATTTTGATGCATTTATGTATATATGCAATTTTTGAGTTCAATTGAAATTCATCTGCTGAAAGTGACGTAAATAGCACTCTCCAAATACGAATGTAGAAATGGCGCAAAAAACGAACGATTTTTTGTGTCGAAAGTTGAATTTAATTTTTAGATTTCCAGCGGAATAAAAACTTTACTTAATGATTCAGTTTTCTCAAGTTGGGTTCATATTATCAAAAAAGCGCCAATCATAAATTGTTCTAGAAATTCAAAGAGCTTAAAGGGCATCTATTCTTTTCTTTGAAATTCGAAAGTTGAGATTTTTTCAACAAAGTCAGTGATTTTTTAATGTTTACTTGCGTTCATTACTCTTCCAATCATCGATTGGCTATGTTCAAAAAATTGATGCGCTGTTAGACGAATGGCTTTTATATTGTTATGATTTTGGATCAGGTAATGGCTTCATATTATAGCAGAAAAGTGTACACGAAGTTTAACTTGAACCCGCTGTGACTAATTAAAAAAAACATGAATTGAATTTGTGGGAGAAATTATGAGATTTTTACTGTGCATGATGGATGAAATTGCTTGATATTGATGAAAAGTAGAATACACAACAATGGTTGAGTTAATTGAATATTGTTTAGGAGGTCACGGGGAAAGTGGCTTCAACCACTTCGAACAGGAGGCTGCAAACCAGTATCTGTTCTGTCTGAACACCAATGCAACGCAAATGGGAATGCACTTGGTTGAACTCAGTCCAGAGTCATTGGACCCTAGATACATATTTATGCTGGATATCGGTCGGGCATTGTTTCTATGGGTGGGAAACCAGACTCCAAATACGAAACTGAGCAAGGCGAAGTTGTTGGGTGAGAAGATAATTAAGAATGAGAGGAGGGGAAGGGGCAGAGTGTTGGTGGTGAGACAGGGAGCGGAACCTAGTCAGTTTTGGAAAGGACTGCTGGTGGATAAACCAGAAACGTAAGAATATATGCAATTTATTTTGTCAAGATTTTTCATTTCAACGCCAGAAAATATCAACTTAGTAAAATACGGATATTTTCAACTGACTATTGTGGAAGCCGCAATGCTTTGTATCGTGTATTTGAATTGTTTGTCTGACCAGTTCGAAAAATGATGGGTGTAACAATAGGATATTTGAGAAAATTCGGCTCACTATTCAGACCAATTTATCACAGAAAGACTGTAAACTGGAGTCTCGTGCCGAGAAAACGGCAGAAATGTTTTTAGTTTTTTTTAACAATGGTGTGATCGGAATGAATGTTCTTTGCTTCCTGCTAAGCAACCAGCTGCTTCGAAAATTGTTTGTTCCTAGTAGTTGACATTGCGAGCACCGAAGTTTTTATTCGTATATTTCAGGTTCACGTTCAAACCTTCGGAGTGGCTGGATCTGAACACAATTAAGAAGCCCAACTTGTACAATGTGCTCATCAAGCAGATAGATGGAAACAAATACTTCGAGCTCAGCCAATGTGTGTAGAATTGTTATGCTCTGCGCCAATTGCTTTTAATGAAATAAACTAATTTAATTTATCTAGAAGACCAAAACAGATGAGTCAATAAAAGATTAACAATCGGTACAAGCAACTCGTTAACTCAATCAGTTAAAAACAACCTCAGTTTTTTTGAAGCGTTTGTTGAATTAAACAAGGTTGCAGTGTTGGTCAATTTATGTCATTTTTGGAAATTTACGTCAATTATGACACGAGAAAATAACACGCTATTTCTGACAGACGTTTTAAACAGTATTTAAAACGTACTGTGTTATTAAAGGACCAACACTGCAAGGTTGCCTCAGCGAGCGGCGATTTGGCATTAATTAACGCTTCAAGCATTAGAATCAGTCATAAAGCCTGTAAGAATTCTAATGTTCTTTTTGAGCATTTTGCCGGTGGTTGAATGAAAATCTCAACTAAACAAGGATATTTAAATTTGTCATTATGAGAGTGGTTGTTTTTTTTTCAGTGGAACAGACCAACTGGGCTTTGAACGAGGAACAACTGAACCCGAAGTCGGTGTTAGTTCTAGATGCGCAGACTGCAGTGTTTGTGTGGGAGGGTAGACGCAGTGCCCGCATACTCAAGAGGGCCAGTGTACAGATTGCGGGTGTGTTGCTGCGAACAGTCGTTAGACAGGACGATGAAGCTGGAGTAATTGTCGAGAAGCAAGGGTAATTAATACGTCACAAATTGTCATAACTGTGGTTTGTCTCTATTCCAAAACAAACGATATACGACCAGCCATTTTTTTCTGGGCGTTAGCATAACTTATAGCGATATGACCACAGGAGTAAAATTTCTACACTATTTTCTTTAGACTTTTCCCGTAAATATTGATCACTCTCGAACAGTCGAAAGGATTTATACATTAAGGTCGGTTATTTTAAGAGTCGGTGAACGTAGTTTAGGCTCTTATTACGCTTGCGATTAGCAAGCGTTATCAAACTGGAATATATATATAAGTGATTCAACTGATTTTGATAAGCTAGTCAATTAGCTTATCAAAATCAGTTGAGTCACTTGTTGATTATGCAGCTGACTATGCTGCTTACTGACATGCTCAATTTCTTGAAAATTTAAACTTAACACAACGGATTTTGCTCGTGCTGTAGAAAGTTTTCATTGTAGCTGCAATTGCAAGTGTTTTTCATTCTAATTTCAGGGGGGGGGGGGGACTTTTTTCGATTCTTTTTTTGGTCAATTGGTTCCAGCTCAAAGGTTGTTGGCTTTGTTGCCACATCACTGATTTTTCTTGTGCTGTAAGCAGTTTTCATTGCACTTGAAGTGCAAGTGTTTTCCATTGTTGTTTAATGTGGGACTAAAAACTTTTTTTTTATAAAATCTTTTTTTCGGCTTAATAACTTGCGTATGCTCAAAGATTGGCTTTGTTTATTAACATAAATTTTGTTCCGTTGTTGCTGATTTAAAATTCAAGTGTCTGGCATGTTTGCCTGGAATGAATTTCTATCGAGACATGAAAGTTTATGTGACCTATTTTTTTTTCTCGAAATTTTCATTTTTTTTGTTTTTTTTTTGTGTTGTATCGCAAGGGGTGTGAAGCTCCGCTTCGCCTCTGTGTTTAATTCGTTAATTTTTTGTGATTTCAAGCAAAAGTTTTTACTCTTGCGAGGTTGCGAGCGCAGTGTATTAGTACAGATCTTTTTTTTTAACCTAACTCGCAAATAAAAGTGTTCAGTGAAAGAGAAAATCCGAGACGTAGCCGAATTTTTCGTCTCATTTCGCTAGTGTTTGCGAAGCCCAGCTTCACACCGTTGTAAAAATTGTTCACGCTCAAATTTATTTTTCACGGTTGATTTTTCATTTTGTCAGTTTTTGCTAAAAAGAAGTCAAACTACACTATCAAACAGAAAAATTGTTGAGGTCAGGAAAAACGTGAAAAATTTTTTGTTTCTATTGTTAAATCGACTTTAAATTCCCAGTAGAATGGAAAAATTACCCTTTGATCCAGTTTTTTCTAATTAGGATAACTTTACAGAAAAGTGCTAATCAAAGTCATAAATTATTTTTGAAATTCATAGTTTTAAGGTGGTAAGTTTTTAATCAACTTTTTTTGTTTTTGATAAACTTTTTTTCAATAAGCGCTTCCTTGTTTTTTTTTTCATTTCTTTTTAGTTAGAAAAAAGTAATGAGTTTGAGAGCCAGTGTCTTGTTATCGAAAACTAGACTTTTCCCGTAAACAGCTTTTCTTACACATCTGTAAGAAATTGAATTTGCGTTGTTATTGAACCTTTACAACTTTCTGGCGTTTAAGGCTTTAACAACTGTAGGCACTTTCGTTTTAGTTGGCATTTGTAAATTTGTCAGCCTTACCTCGGTATATTTTCTTTTTTTTTCTGTCTCTCGCTTAAGAGCTCTATTTGGCCCGAACTGTTTCGGCGTATGTTTTATCGGATTAGTGAACTTGTTTTGTGTTGTTTGAGTTGAGTGTATAAACTAATTGAGGTTGGTTGTGGTGTAAAAAATAAAGTTAAGTTTTTATCGCTCACATTTTTTATGACAACAATTTCTTTTGTTTTCGGATCATTCTTTGTCTACCTACGTATTGTCGGCTTTGTGGCTGCTCGGTAATTACTAAACGTTGTATTACAAAACATTTAGTGGTGGCAAAGTGTTCATTATATGGCGGCACTTATGTTATAATCACGATCTAAAGCATTGGAAGTTTCATAGCATCTGCTCTCTGCTTGATTTGTGGCTAGTATTTGTGATTTATTTTTTGCGTCCGTGGCTGAGTGGTTAGAGCGAGAGACTCATATTTTAGGTCGCCGTAGGTCGTAGATCAAATCCGAGACTTAGCTGATATATATTTTTTTACTAATTCGAGGCTTATTTCTACTTTTTCTTATTGGACTTTATCGAGCTGATTTTTGTCGTATTTTGGCTAGTGTTTGCGAAGCGCAGTTTTGCCTCTGTTTCAATGGTTTAATTCTTGTTGAAGTTGGGGTAGGGTATGAAAAGTTCAATCTCCAGAAAACGAAAATCAAAGCAGGACGTTTTCTCTAACTAAATTTTATAACGATTATGCTTCTAGGTTTGAGAGTGAGTTCTTCAAGAGTTTCTTCTCGAAGTGGACTTCGGACAAAGTGGCTGTTGACTACACAAAAGATAACCAGCACCTGCCGGAGCACCAGAAAACAGCTGATGAGCCACCGAAGGAAGCCAAGACTAGTCTGAGTGCACTGTTTGCATCTCGACAGCCAGACCACAATTTGGAAGACATGGAATACGACAAGTTGTACTTCTCAGACGATCTGAAACACGTTAGAATAATACAGATATTTTGAGAATGCACAAACATATTGAAATTGCTCGTTGCTGGTGTTTTTTAAAAACTCAATATTGTCAGTTGGAAAGGCGCCATTTGGTTTTTCTCCGATCCATTGATTTTCGTGTAACATTTTTGAACGTGATAGAATTACTGATAATGTTTGTGATATCTAAAAAAATTTGTGATATCTAAAACTTTCATGTATCTGAATTGTTTTGCGTGTAGTTATCAGATTTGATCGGTTTATAAAAATTGAACAGATCTTTGTTCAAGCGAAGATTAGTGCATTACTATGAAGAACTTTTTTTTACACAAGCCAAGCGTAGTGTATTTTTACGAAGAGTTTTTCCCAACCTAAGTCGCAAATAATAGTGCTCATTGGTGGCACTTTTGGTATGTTCCAATTTAATCATGTTAAAACCTATTTGAGCATAGGCAATTTAATAGCATGTGTTGCGGCTTTATTTTTGGCTAGTGTAAGGTCCTGTTTAAAACAACAGGTATTATGAAAAAAATATGGGATTTGATGTTTTTTTGGTTGTTTTTTTTTTTGCTACGCTCTGGAAAATTATTGCACTTTCGCCGAAATTTCATTTTTTCAAAAACAACAACCGATTAAAAAAAATGTACTAATGGATAACCTGGAAGTTCTTTAATGTGCCTGCATATTTTGCTAGTCACTATTTATTTTACCCACGTTCTACGGCCTTCGAAAGTTTCGGAAGGGGATTTTTGACCCATTTGTTTTCGATTTTTTTTTGCATTTTCTCAAATATTAAATGCGCAAATCTGAGATAAACGTTTCAATTAAAAGAACAAATCATGGGGATTCCCCTTCTTATGCGGCTATTCCCCAAACTCGGTAGAAAAAAGTTATGGCCTCAATTCAGCCCATTTTTGTTATTTTCTAAAACTGCGACTTTTCTCAAAAACTACCCTGCCAAATCGGAGATTAAGGGTTGAACCGAAAGGAAAAAACAATTGTGTGAATCTTCCTTGTGTAAATGGCTAGACCCTGTGGTGTGAAAAAAATATGGCCTTAGAAAACTAACCCGCTGATTCTAAGGTTGTTATTTCAATCAAACTAACGTGGTGGTTAGATTTTCTCTGTTTAATATGTTTCACCCTATTTATTTTAGAAAAGCTGATAAGGTTATCGCAAAAATCCATTTTTTGTAAAAATTCCAAACTTTTTTTCACAAAAATTACTAGCTAAATCTGATATTAAGGGTTAAATCTAAAAATCAGGCTGTGAAATTCTTCCCTGTATAAGATGCTCTTCCCATGCTTTATTAGAGAAAAGTTAATTGATATAGGAAAAGTCTTTGTTTGATCAGTATTTGATCATTTCTTATTTCACTTTTTCGAAAACTACCCAGCCAAATATGAAATAAAGAATTCAGATAACAGAGCAAATAGTAGTTTTTTCCTGTGAATAAACAGCTAATCCCGTACTTAAGTAGGGAATTACTAGGGTTTTGCGTAAATTCCAACTTTTGAAACTTTGAAAAGTGTGCATTTCGGTATCGCTACAATCAAAGATTAAAATGTTAAACCAGGTGCACCACTAGTTTACCTCCAAGCGACCGTGGCGCAAACGTTAGGACGTGAGACCCCTAATCATCAGGTGGGAGATTCAAATCCGGAAGTTCCAAATAGATTTTTTGGTTGAATTTTTGCTGCATTGCATAGGCAATTTGATAAGAAGCTGTAGCTGCTTTTTTTGCTAGTGTAAGTAAAATTTTCGCAAGGTGTATTTTTAATCTTTCCCTTTTTCCTGATTTCATTTTGCCTGTTCAGAGCTTTTTTACGGTTTCCTCGCTTGTGTTTGCGAAGCGCAGCTTCGCCTCTGTGTCTATATATCATATCATAGTATAAAGCTATCATAGTATAATTTTCAGACAATTGCGTTCTGGTTCAACGGACAAAATTTCGTGAAGCTTCCCGAGCATGAAATCGGACAGTTCTACTCGTGTGACAGCTACGTGTTAGTCATGTATTATGTTCATCCCCCTGATGATGAAGATTTGACCGACGATACAGATGATACGGCAACGGAAGAGGAACCAACGGGTCACAAAGGGTCATCGGGAAGCGGTGGGGGAGGAGGAATTGGCAGCTTTAAACATGTAAAAAGACGTTTTGGAGTTTAAGGGAAATGATATTGATATTTGATGAAAACCCAAATCGAGAACTAGTTCCATTTGAAGCGAATATTGTTCTTTATAGTTTCTTTAAAACACAAATCGAGTACTAGTTCCGTTTGAAGTCAAAAATTGATTTCTTAAGAGATACTAAGCCTTCTTCTTGGTTCGAAAATTTTTTACGGTTATAATTGCACAAGTTTGCATTAAAAATGATTGAACAGAAAATGTTTGTTTTTCAGGAGTTCAGAACTGTGTTCTGGAAAGGTCGGGACTCTTCAAACAAAGGCTTCTTCAACTTCAATCTGCAGTTTTCAAAGGAAGACTTGCCCTCGTTCATTAACCAACAGATAGACAAGCTGCGAAGTGGTCTCAACTTACCAGATTTGGAAGCCGCAATCGAGCCTACTCTAGTTGTGAATCAGCAAGCAGAGGATATTTCACTTCTGATTTCGCTCAACCAGCAGATAATTATCCATCGGGGATCGAGGAAGGCGGCTAAAAAGGAGGAGGAGTCGGGAGGTCGGACAAAGTTGCATTGTGTGAGGTCGAATGCGGGAACTGTGTTCACGAGGTGTATCGAAGTGGACTGTGAAGCAAGATTACTGCACTCCTATTATTGGTATGTCGGTGCACAAAAACAAAAATTTCAAAGAGGCCTCCAACTCCTCATCAAGTTTGTAGGTTCAGTTTTGGCCTATATTATTGTTAACTTCTTCTGCAACTAAACATGGGCGAAGTCGTGTATATGTTGTTTTGAGCGCTATCATGGAAACATTGTAAGCACAGGAACCACAGTTATTTAATAAAAAGGTTCCATATGTCAATTAAATTTGGAAATTTGTTTTTAGTTATATTCTTGGTATTCCTTTCGATGAAAAAGAGAACTCCTCTTCATCCTCAAGTGGCATTGCGTATGTCTGGATTGGGTCCAAGTCTAATGAGTTCTTCCAGAAAGTGGCCAAGAAAGACGCAGAAAAGATATATGGAACCATGGTGAGACATTACATAAGGTCTTTACACTAGTCAGTTTGCGAGTATTAGTGTAGTAGTACGATTTTTTTTCTAATCAGCTCGCAAATAAAAGTTTTCACTTATTTGGTGACTTTTTTGATATAACCACTATCTGTACCAGTGGACCGTTTCATAGCTTCTATTCTCTGCTTGATTTGTGGCTAGTGTTTGTAGTTTAGTAAGCGTCCGTGGCTGAGTGGTTAGAGCGTGAGACTCATATTTTCTAGGTCGCAGATCGAAACCGAGACCTAGCTGATTTTTTTTTATTTCGAGGCTTATTTCTACTTTTTGTTGCGTTTTATAGAGCTGTTTTTTGTGTTCTCGCTAGTATTTGCGAAGCGCAGCTTCGCCTCTGTGTCAGCTCTTCGAGATAGATAAACAGGGATAGCCGGTTTCTGTGGAAGTAGCACTGATTGTTCCGACCATAGTCTTAAAAAATACAACATAGTTTTTCAAATAATTAAGAGTAATGAACATAGTGAAGAGTCTTATATAGGTTTTGCTTATTTTTTTAAGGAAAAAATCTTAAAAGTCTCTAATAACTACAGATGTGCATTCATACATATTGATGCACTTATGTATATATGTACTTTTTGAGTTCAATTGAATTTCATCTGCTGAAAGTGACGTAAATAGCACTCTCCAAATACGAAAGTGGAAAGGGCGCAAAAAAGCGTGAGCGATTTCTAGTTTCAAAAGTGGAATTTAATATTTAGGTTTTCAGCGGAATAAAAACTTTACCTGTTGATCCAGTTTTCAAGTTGGGTCAATCTTATCAAAGAAGCGCCAATCATAAATTGTTCTTGAAACTCAAAGAGCTCAAAGGGCATCTATTTTTTTCTTTGAAGTTCGAAAGTTGAGATTTTTTCAACTAAGTCAGTGTTTTTTTTGTTAACTTGCCTTCTTTACTTTTTTTCCAATCTTCGATTGGCTTAATTTGTCATTTTTTTGGCGTGGTGTGATAAAAGGAACTGCACAAAAAAACTGGGGATTAGGTAGGAGGAGCTCTCAAGTAAAACTAAATTTTTCAAGTTAAGCTATTGTAAGCTTTTAAGCAGTTGAAATAAGACTGCTCGCTCGCTTTATTCGCTCGAAATAAGACGAAAAATCAAAAAACCGGTTTTTCTCGAATCTGGGAAGTTTTTCGAAATTTTGTATAATGTTTGAATCACGACTGTAAGTGCTTTAATATGATATATCACTCCACCCAGTCCGATCATTATTTGTGGTACCTGATTTTGCGTGGAAAACAAAAAAACTAAAACAGACTTGAATACCAAGTTCCTCCTCATTTTCAATGGTCGGAACAAAAAAGGAAAAGGACAAAGAAAAACAAAGCAAAACTAAAACACACCCGAATACAAAGTTCTTCCCCATTTTTCAAATGGTCGGAACAAAAAGCGAGACCATTATGAATCTATCACTCAATCGATTATTAGCAATAATTTATAGTATTGCCCAAAATTTATCGGCAGGAAAATGAAACAGGGTTGTTACTGGGCTTGTTTGTCATTGGGAAATCGTTGCATGAAATTTTGTTTAGAACTTCACTATTCAAGAAGTGTCTGAGGGAACTGAGCCACAGGATCTTTTCTGGGAGTTCCTTGGAGGGAAGCAGGCGTACGAGACTGACAACTCTTACGTCGCCAGCTGCCAACTGTTCAGGTGCTCCAATCTGCACGGTTTCTTTGGAGTCTCATTCAAGTTCAACGACTTCAGCCAGGTTATTACAATTATGGTTTGAAAGTAAAGCTGATCTACTAGTAAAAGTTTAAAACAAAGCGTGAATCAGGCAAACAAGGTCATCTCGTCTAAATAATAAATATATATTATGAATTGCAGGCCGATCTGACCCCGAGTGACGTCATGATTCTGGACACTGGTACAAATGTCTATCTATGGTTGGGAGAAAATGCTTCCGACACAGTAGTTCGACTGGCATACAAATCTGCAGTCATGTACATGCAGTACAGAGAAAGGAAGAAACCAGCTAAGCTGCTGGCGACCAAGCGAGGATTCGAACCGTGGCAGTTCCAGAGGGTGTTCCATGGATGGGCGCCGTGGCCTCCTCCTAAATTTATCAGATGAAAAACGAATAAATATCATTTACAGAATTTACCGAGAAGGCCTGTGATGCTAAAAATTTAAAGTGACCAGAAATAATTTCTAGTCTTAAACTAACGTTCAAGATGTCAAAATTGAGATTCTCAATGGTCAAAAAAATTAACCTTGTGCTGAGCATGTAGTTTTTCTCAACTTTTTTTGAGTTATATTAAGAAGAAATGAATTAATTGAATTTAATTTTTAAAAATCATCTCATCTAGTTAATTATTTCAAAATCGACATTGGTTTTATTCGAGAAATGCTTATGTGATAAAATGAGTTAAATTTTTCCTTATTAACTCGCACACTTTTCTGCGCTCACGTTTTAACTGCGCTCACGATTGTAAATTTTCAGCATTCCCTGCGGAATGAAAAAATTCTTATTGGTCCAATTTTCTTTAATTGGGTTTGCTTTTCGAGAAAGTTTAAAGATTCTTGATATTCAAAGAGCCTTAACGTGGTGTATTTATATTCGAAATGCGAAAGTTGAAAATGTTTTGAAAAATGGTTTCCGTAAGTTTTTTGACTTTTCCAACTTTTCCATATTTCTGTTTTCTCTGTTTTGAGTGCCTGGTTTTTACTATTACTTGATGAGTGTTTAACTCTAATGCTTCAAAGTCCTGTGGTCCGCGTTTCGAATCTCGTAGTCGACTAAATCTTATTTTTTGTGTTATCTAGCTAATTGAAAGCCGCCTATACTAGTTTTTGTTTGTGTTCGTGGCTCGCAGCTTCGTATAGAGGCCTGTATACGTCCTCAATGCTTTTTTCTTTATTCCACAGAATTGTTCTTCCCAATTTTTTATAATCATTTCAGATAGCACTGATTGTTATAAATCCGTTCTTTGCGACCTGTAACCTTCCTAGATCAGGACCCTCTTCCGGAAACTATCCATCAACTCTATCTCATCAAACATCATCTCTTAGAACCAGACGGGGCTATAATGAGTTCTACTGGAATCAAAGTTTACATCACGAGCGTGTCGGGTTGGTAACAGAGGTCCTCAAATATTTAATTCACTTGTAGATCTTTTGTATGGATAAACGAATCAATTGAGCAATCCCCCCTAAGGTACTTGAGACATGTTTATAACCACTCGAAATTAGTTTGAATGATATGAAATCATGAACCAGATTCTCCAACGAATGTGGAACGCCAAAGATAACAGAGTGGAAAAAGAATAATTAAACTGAGGCACATTAAGCGAACTTTTTGTCCTAAATGGAAAAAAGCTATTGCGTACATTAATAAGGTGCTGCAGAGAACATTTTTTTTGTATTCAGATATAAGGCTAGGGCAATAACCCTGGTAATGAGATAAAATGGTCGCCCAAACAAAAATTTGCAAAAAAAATATAAATTTCTGTATAAAAATTTTCTCGATATTCATGTAAAAGGAACTTCAGTCGGTCAATTGATTGCGTGCTATGAACACATCAACCATCTACTTGCGTTTGATAACGTCTTTTTGTAATATCTTACCGTTTTTGCTTGGGGTAGATAGCTCAATTGGTCACGGGGGGGGGGGGGGGGGGGCGAGATTGCTCAAATGATCCGATTAAACATTTTTACTTAGAGAAATATGTAATAAATAAACCTTGCTTTAGCATGAATTCTCCATGCTTTCAAGGGTTAGTTAGTCTAGAAGTAAAGTGCATGTATTGAGCTCCTAAGGTTTCTTTTTAATTTCAGTTCTTTTCCATTGTTAAAAGGAAGGCTAACTCCACTACCGAACAGCAAATGTGTAAAGGTCTCGAAAAACGCGATGGACTTCTTGTTTCGAAAGTGGAATTTAATTATCAGATTTCCCAGCGAAATAAAATGTCTACTTAATGATCCAGTGTTCTCAAATTGGGTTAATTTAATGAGAAAATTGTCAATTATAAATTTTTCTAGAAATTCGAAGAGGGTTAAGTCTTTCTATTTTTCCTCCGAAATTCGAAGTCATTTTTTTTTCTTTGCGTTCATTTCTTTTTTCCAACTGTGAGTTGGCTATGTTCTAATTTAGGCAGATTTTACTGTTATTGAAGGGTGTGTAATTTGTAAATATACTAACTCAGATATATTGTTTCATTTTTTTAAGTTTCTTTAGTGTGCTTGATTTTAGCTGATATTATATCATCCTACGCGTATTATATTTTGTCGTTTGAAAGGCAAAATTAGATATTTTGCTTTGTGTGTTTCAGTCAGGGTGTTGGGGATAATATCTGAGTTTCAAAACGTCGTAGATCTAAATTTTAAATCACAACAATTTTGTTTTTGACTCAAATGGCGTCTACACAAGAATTGTCGGCATAGCTGCCGCTATGTAAATGCTTTTTAATGCTTATTTAACGCTGATGATTAATTAATCGATAAGTTTTCCTCAAATTGAACATCGTTTGAGGTAATTGTATGAATTTTTTTAAGTCAAATTTATGAGATTTTTTTGAAAAAAATTATCGACTTTGTCTTCCGTCTCATTTTCTATCTGCTAGATTGCAATGCTAATTTTGTTTTGTATTGCATGTGTTGCCAAGCTCCGTTTTGCCTCTGTCTTCATTGGTCCTTTTGCAGCCTGTTTTCGTTGCGATTTTTTTGTTTTTAGTTAGTTTTTTATATTTGAGCTTTTCTTTCATTGCAGGCAAGTGTGCGTATCTGATATTTGTATTCAGTGGCAGGTGCAGAAAGTTTTGATGGAGGATTTTTTTAAAAAATACAATGTAAAATCCTAAGTCTTAATCTTGAGTTGTCAATTTGAATTGCTCTGTTCTTTTACAGGCAGTCGCGAGGTGAAGAACAGAGTGGTTAAGATCCAAAACACTCTGACCAGCATGCGCATAGACTACGAGGAAGTGGATGTGGCCCTAGATGCCAAGTACCTGGAGGACATGCGGGCTAAGATGAACGACCACAAAGCAGTGGTGCCCCAGTTCTTCAAGGACGACCAGTACTTAGGCGTGAGTTTGAAAGACTCAGATTTTTTTTAAGGAAATGGTCCATGTAGATTGCTTTTTATTAGGGACTGGGACACAAGACTATTTCGATCTGATCCATGGAGCATGATTTGTTTTGATGATTTTTTGTATGCCTTCTAAAAACGAGAATTAATTTTGTAATTTTTTTGCTTTAGGATTACGAGGCCTTCCACAATGCTCTAGAGGATAGCAACCTGTTGGAATTTTTCCAGCTGTCCAAGGACTAAATGTCTCAATCATCATTTGATGTCAATCTTGGGCTCCACGCAGATTGTTCAATTGCCCTCACGTGACTCAAGACTTAATTTCTATTTTATACTTTCCGAAGATTTCTATTTATACCCAAAGAAAAATTGACCCTAGAAATTTCAAATATTAATGATGATAATATAATTAAAAATAAGTGATGAGCAATGAAAAGATAACTAGATCATTTAATCAAGGATGTAAGCCTTTTTTGTCATAAATAAATTTTGAGGTGAATGAATCTACGAAAAATCATATATAAGTAATCGAGACAAAAATTTTCACTGATTCATCACGTTGGGTTTAATAATAGCAAATTCAATTGCCATCCCAATAGCTCGAGCAATTCATTATATTTTCCCTTCTTAAATAATGCAAAAAAAAGAATTGAATGTCGCTGCTTAAAATGGATTTCAGAAATATTTAAGTCAGTTTATTGGAATCGCGCTTTTAATAATTGAACGAAATAAAATTTCTGAATTTGATTTTCTTGATTAGAATTGAGAGACTATGTTGTTGCCTTTAGTCATTATTAGACACCATCTTTGAAACTGCGAGACTTGACCCTTGACATTAAAATTAGGAAATCAAACTTCAAATAAACTTGACAAATAAAACGTTGGCGTCAGTCTGAAATGCCCGTGGTCACAAAATTTGATCATAATAAATGGCATCCAGGAAATGAACAAATTAGGCAATTTGAGAGGCAAAACAACTAGCAGTAGCGTTACGTTTCATCATTGTTGGTCATTTATTAAATTAAACAGGTTATTTGAATAGCGACTATTGTTTACAGCTGAAATTGCGTTGCCTCTGTTTACCGTTGAGTTATTTTTCGTTCAAAACCGATTGATCGCAGCTGGATTCGATTTCAACATGCTTTGTACAGATTGCTGCAAGAAGAAAGATGACGAGGAAAGGCTTACGGTGAGTCTTGTAATTTTTTTCTCCCGGTTAAGATGTTCTCTATGAATTTCATGCGAAGCTTGAGCAACCTTAATTTTCAACGAAGATTCCTAAATTTAAATTTGCTTCAAAAATCTGATACATGATCAAAACAATTCATTAACTTTTCAATCCAGGAAAAAAGGCCGAAAGTATGTAATTGCTGCGTGGTTGTACAGTGCTGATTTAAATTATCCGGACAAAATGAATAAATCTTGAATTTCAAACACGATTTTCTCAAATTGGGTTAAGATCAGACAAAAAAATGGAGAAAACATAAGTTGCTTAGAATTTCATCAGAATTAATATGATGCAATTTTTTCTCCGAAATTTACAACCAAATTTTAAGCCCAAAAATAGGTCATTTTTGGTTTTTTCAGACATTCAAAAATTACGCTGAAAATACTTTGTTCGTTGATAAGGAATTTATATCACAATAAGCTTCTGTTACAGCCCAACAAAGTTGTACAAGGGTTGAATCTCCAAAAGTTTGTGTAAAGTGTTTTAAGTTTGTTTTTAATCAAAGATTTTGGGTTTTATATGGTAAAATTCACGTTTCTTGACAATCAAGCAAAATTGATTTCTCTTATACAGGTTTTTGGAGATTTAACCCTTCCAGAACTTTGTTAGGCTGTGTAAGACGCTTCTTCTGATATATATTTCTCATCAATTAACAAAGTAGTTTCAGCAATATTTTTGATTGTCTGAAAAAGTCAAAATGACCCATTTTTTGGGTAAAGTTTTGGTTGAGTATTTCGGAGAAAAAAATTGCACCATAATAATATTGATGAAATTCTAAGCAACTTTTGTTTTCTTCATTTTTTGTCTAATCTTAACCCAATTTGAGAAAAACGCGTTTGAAATTTCAATTTTGTCCGGATAATTTAAATCAGCACTGTAGAAAAGTTTTGCTTGAAGCACATGATAACAACATTCATACAAAAAAATCATAGAATTGATCATCCCTGAACTAAAACACACTTGTGGACAAAATTATAAGTGAATGTTGTTTGTTTGATTCACATTTTTTTGTTTGATTCACATTTTAATACCTAACTAAAATAGTGGAGAAAATTAAACTCAGGCATCAGGTTTTTTCTCTAAACTGCCTAGTTTTACAGACCAGTTTAGACATTTTTTTATAGGATTAAATTATTTTAAACAAATTTTCACGAAGTTATTGAAATTTTTCTTCAAAGAATTACCAGTTTACTCGGAATTACCAGTTAATTATGTTGCTTTCCAAGATGCACAGAATGTTCCGATCAAATTCATTAAAAAAACGGAAATCTTTTTTCAAATTAGTGTCACTTATAGTGGGTGGTGTAATTCGAAAACTATACAATCGAGTGGAAAAATAATAATTTGGGCATGATTGACAACATTTGCCTTTTGTCTCCAAAAATGATTAAGAATGAAAATAAAAAAACATAAATAAATAAAAAGCAACTGCAAAAAAAATCAAAATTTTCTATTTTTTTGCTCATTATTTTGAAGTTTTAAAAAAAATACTTTTGCACAAAAAAAAGCCAAACGAAACATCCAAAATTCGTTTCTTGCAGTCAACAAAATGTTTTATCCCAAAAGTTTGAAATAACGGCAAGCTTCAAAATGACGCGCGTTACTCGATCACGTTACTTGCTCGAAATTAAAACTAAATCTTTAAGTTTTGAATTAGTTTTTCTTTTGCACTAGTGGAGACAAATTATTGAATTTTTTTTGATGCCATTTGAGTCCACATGAAAAGGTTGCTGATAAGATTTATCAATGTGCCCATTAAATTGATATATCTCTGGTTCCTGATTTGATGAATGCTTGTACCTGGTTTTGTGGTACCCAAATGATGATTGTTTGTGGTGCCCGATTTTGCTTGAAACACAAAACAAAAAAACACCCGAATAGAAAGTTTCACCCCATTCAACAATTCAATTCGAAGAAATTCAATGTTCTCACAGAAATTGTTTCACATGAAACGATCATATTTTTTACTACGCCGAGAGCAAATCATCCGATCCACTTTCTTTGAAGTTCGATCTCATTGAGTTTACCAGTAAGCTTCGGAAAACTCCAGTTTCCATTTTTTGCAATATTTTTGAGCCACAATTGTTTTTTCTCTGTTACTTGCTAAAATTCTCACGTCGTTGAGAAATTAATTCACAATTCCAAAGTATTTTTCCCGGCATTTTTGCCATTTTCAGAGATCTGTTTCACCATTTAGGTTTGCCACTGTGTTGCTCTTACAAGTCCCAGCTGCATTGAAATCTAAATTCTTTCTTAGTAAGTTTAGCAAGTGAAAATCATAAGAAGTTAACAAGAGATAACTTGTAATTGACGCATATCACACTCTTGAAATACGGAGTCAAAAAACCTGCAGTGAGGTTCCAGGATAAATATCGAGTAGAATAGAATTTTGTGGTCAAGAATGTTGGCATTATAATCATTTTATATTACAGTTTGGGACCACGCTATCGATTATATTTCATTATAATCCATTACTTTTAGAGAAATTCAATGGATTATACCTTCCATTCCAACTCAATCCATTTAAAATCAAATTATTTTATCCGCACACCTACGCCACCCCCACCTACGCCACGCAATGCCCCTCATCTGTCCTACCCCCACGCACGCACACTTACCCAAACTTCCTCCACACACCTACTTGACCCCTCATAAGTTTTTTTGGGGGGAGTGGAGGGCTGGGAGTAAAGATATGTTGGGTGGGGGTTAATAATTATTAAAGATGTATGTGCGTTTCGCCTTTAAGGGGGTAGGGGCACACGTTTACGGTAATTTTTACGTAATTATACGGTAATTGTAAATGAAGGGTAAATGGTGGGTGGTGGGATTTCGGGGTAATTGAAGGAAGTAAGAAAGTTGGGATTTAGTGTGAATCATTTAGGGGGAGGGGAGACAATTTGGAAAAAAAAACAAGTAGAAAAGGATACAACTTTTTGCTGTAGCCATATGTTAAACACAGTTAAGCGGTTGCAATGTTCAATATAGGTTAAATATCTTTTATAATCCATTATAATTCACTATAAGTCATTATAATCTATTATAATCTATTTTAAACGATTATAAAGGAAAAAATTATATTCTAGTTTGTTTTATAATCGATTAATAATTCATTATAATCATTTTTATAGAGTTTTATGGAGACAGATCATGAAAATCCCTTATAATCAATTTTTATCCAGGGAACCTCAGAGCGGGAAGTCTTCGTTTTTGGGTTTCTCAATTTAAGGAAAAATTAATCTTGTGTTAAAAGTTTTACTTTTTCTTCGATTAAACATAATAAAAATTATTTGAAATTTGAAAAATTTCAGCAACAGGTCCTTCTTTTCCAAAGCTCAAATGTTGAAACATGTTCAAAAACTAATGTCATATCACAATTTTTACTTTTTCTTCGATTATGCATAATAAAATCTATTTAAAATTTGAAAAATTTTAACAAAAGGTCCTTTTTTCCAAAGCTTGAATGTTGAAACATGTTCAAAAACAAGGTTGAAAAAGGTTCAAAACATTCAGTTTTCTTTTCTGAGCTCCTACATTTTTTTAATGATCAAACTGATCATGAGTATCAATGATAAAAAAAGACATTTACCTAAGTCGTGTTTTTGTTTTCTTTTAGGACTAATGTTAGAATTTTGTACGCTCAAATTTAATTTTGTTGCGTCTGAACGTTGATTTCTTATAATGATGATTTTTTATATTCCTAAATTTGGGGCTATGGGTGAAAAAAAAAACAGGGCACTTTGTTATGTTCAGGCCCTGTTTCATTTCTGTATTGATCTCTGCCTATTCTCCATATCCCTCAGGAAGACAATAAGAGGAAGTTGATTTTTGTTTTGTCGAAAACAAAGAACCACAGGCTGTAATAAGAACTGAAGGATCTCAAGTCTATCCCCGCATAGACCTCAACAAATATACTCCTTCCCTGCTTTTTTGGACCAAACTGATGATCAATGAGAAGAGCAAAAAAGTCGGTTGAAATGATATGAGTTGGCATAATTCTTAGAAGTTCACTTCAAATTCGTGACAAATTCAGGCTTCAAGAGAGTTTTTGCTTAGATTTTCCTAATAAATTAGATTTTCTAATACATTTTTGGTAAAAAAGATTGTTTCGTGATTCAGTGTTCTGAAATAAAACCAGTTTTATCAAGCTGTCTGTAGGCAGTTTGTGAAAAAAAATTCAAGAATCGCCCCTAAAAAGCGCAACCTGTTGGGTGTTAGTTATCTAAAGTCGAAGAGATTCGTTCATTTTTCCAAACGTATCTATCCCCCAATCAATTTGAACTTGTGATGGCCAAGAAATGTTTGCTTTTTCCATTATCACTGAGCTCTCAGTTACTGTTGATTGTTTAAGAGCGAGTGAAAGAGTAAAAGAATCCTACATAGGTCTTAGTGATTTTTTGTTTCAGGACAAAGTCGGAACGCTTTATCACGCTCAGTTTTTTTTCTGTCGTCTGACTTTTGATTTCTTTTTAAGTTCAGTTCATTTCCATTGTTAAAAGGAAAGCAAACTCCACTATTGAACAGCAAAAGTGATAAGGTCACGAAAAAAGTTAAAGTCACTTCTAGATTCGAAAACGGAGTTTAATTTTCCGATTTCTCAGCAAAATGAAAAATTTTATTATTGATCCAATGTTCTCAAATTGGGTTAACTTCATCAAAAAAAGACCAATCAGAAATTCAAAGATCTTAAAGGGCACATACCTTTTCTGTGAAATTAGAAATTTGAAGTATTTAAAAAAATCATTTTTCATTCTTTTTCCTTGCGTTCATACTCTTTTCCAACCGTCAGTTTTCTTTGTTTTTGATTTCTGTTTATTTGTTACCATCTCAGCTGTGTTTTATACTTGAACAATTTTCAAACAAACACGCACCTTTCATTTGTATTGCAGAGTACCTGCGTTGATTAAGTAGCCTGATCTGGATCTGCTTAATTAAAGAGCAATTGTGGCTTCTTGGTAGTTGTTGAAGTTGAAATGAATGTGGTGAAGACACTTTTACAAGTCGTGTTGTTTTTTGTCGTTGTTCAGACGCATAACTAGTTTTGCGTTTTGCGTGGGTTGTCTTTTAATTTTTCTACTTTTCAATTCAAATACATTTGTTACAAGGAAGACAAGCTACGCTCTCCATTTACATTAATGCAAATAGAGCGAGAAAACATGAGTGGCTTCTAGTTCAGCGAAAAAAAGTATTGATCCAGTCTTCTCTACTTGAACTAATTCTCTTAAAAAAGTTCTAATTCTACTTAGACTAATTCTGTGTTATCATAAAACATGCTTGAAGTTAAAAAAAAACTTACTGTGAAATGTTTTTATCCATAAATCAACGACTTTTTTTCCCTGAAATTCAAAAGTTGAAAATTGTTTAAAAGTAAGTTAACAGTTTTTAGTAGGTTTTCTTGAGATTATTGATTGCTTATAATGGAATGTTTGTTTGTTCTATTCATGAGATCCAGAGGTAAACTTCTGTGGAGACCAGATTTTTCTGTTTTTTTTTCGGCTTTTGTTCTTTCAAGGTTCATTTTTGCACGTTCCTTAAACTAGAGAATCGATTTGCTGTTTTTTGGTTGTTATTATTGTTATTAGCAAGTTGTTTGAGGCCTTTCCGGTATCTTCTCGACCAAATCAGGGAACGTTGCGACCTCCGTCGGCCCAAGTCTCAACTTCATTAGGGTCAATTTTGTTCTTATTTGGGGACAGTTAAAAAGGTGTAACATAGTGTGACTAGCAGGACTGAAGGGACAGTTTGAAGGACACTTGGGTCTATCTTATTCATGTAAGGGTTCAAGTAGGGGATCTTTCCTGTTCTTATATGGGGAAGCGTTCATGCAGTCGAGTCTAGGAGGGTTTGATCTGTTTATGAAAGGTCTGATAGTCTTGAGTGGAGATTTGCCTGCTAGGCTCCTGCACTCGGTTGGTGTCAATATTTTCAAGAGCAAATTAAACCTGCTCTTTATGAATGCTCTTTGGTGGTTAAAACCGTTAGAAGTCACAATCGTTTGCTTCTAATAAAATTCGTTAAAATTCCTCTCTAAAAGAGTTTAGGATATTGGCGAGACGGTCGAGGGTGAGCATGGAAAGATTGAAGGTGGTGTGTGAGCAAGTAGGTCCTGAAGATGAATTAGGAGGCAATTAGATTTAAGTGACTTTTGACAATGGATAGTTTGCACTCTGAAAATTAGTGGCCACTGGGGCTCATCTTTGTACACCCAGTCACTTTCCGCAGAGCTACCTTATTAACTATTAGCAATTTTTTTGGATGTATCGTTCACAGCGTAAGACCAAGCTGAAGAATCAAGGTACAGTCTTGTTCTGATTTGAATTTTATAAATACTATTTGAAGTATTTTGCGACTGACCCCAGTTCCAATCAGACAGTGCCTTCAGGACCAATATCCTGCCCATGGCGCCGCTTGCTGTGCGTTTGCAGTGTTGTCAAAGTTCAAGGAAAGATCAAACGAGACCAATATTTTCAAGATGTTTCCCGACAGGCAATTGTGTTTCCTTCATTGAGTTTTTGGCGGAGAGTTGAACTCATTATTATGCGATGTAAAAAGACTTAAACGGCTGTAGAGGAAAATTCGAGCGATCTACTATTAAAAAAAGCCGTGCATTGTGTTTCGATAATTACTTAAAAAGATAGCGGCTTGTTTTATTTTGGGAAATGAAGAGATAAAAAACATTGGCATAAGACGAAATGTTGAATTCTGGAAGAAAGTTAGGTGCATCAGGCTGGTATAAATAAAAAAGACTGTGTTAGAGGACGACGTCTTGAGGTACGCCTGTACTTACGATCCTGGATGGAGGCAAAACGCCCCTAAATTGAGTTCTGGGTTGCCTTCCGCTCAGATAAATTTCAAGCCCTTTAGTTCAATTATCTGGCACAGTTCTAGCAATGTGCAATGGCAGATCATGTCAAATGTCTTCGATAGATCTAACGTGGCCAGCACAGTTGTTTCAGCTGAACGTTTTCAAATTATTTCGATGCTGATAGAAAAAATTCAAGTATTGATTGTGCTGTAGTGGTGGAGAGGAGGGGACGAAAGCCGTGAAGATAGTGAGTTTTCTTTGAAAGATTAAAATGGATTAGAGATTCTAAAATTTTCACTGCTCTGCTTAAAGTAAAGGCAGAGCGGTAGGAGTTCAGTAACTTAACTTCTTCAGTTAGGTTTGGTAAGGAGACTACTTTTGAACCCTTCCAAGTTTTGGGTATTTTGTTAAACATGAAAAACAAGTTGAAAGTAATTGTAAAAGACTAATTTGAAAGTGTTTTTTAAAGAATTGATGACATTTGGTCGCAGATCGTAAAGGTGTACCATGCATAGACTAGGTACACCCAGTCTATGAAAAGGAGCAAGTTTCTAGGTTCCTTTCTTTTGATGGTGAGGCTGGTTTGATTGAATCTTCTGTTTGCAAGGGGAGAAAAGTTAATGGATCGCAAGCATTAGTTTCAGTATTCTCCTCTTAAGGTTTTTCTGGTGTTTGTTAGATTTATATGGTAGGAGTATTATTAACGTTTTCTATTCAATTAATTTCCCTTGATCTCTTGCAAAACAAAAAACGCCGGAGGAGATCCTGCTACTGGTTTTTGGTTAGTTTTAAGGAGCGATTTTTTTTCCAGAATTTACAGGATGACGTGTGCTGAATCAACACCTTTCTTCTGTTTTATTGCTGTTTTTGAGATCAAATTTTGGTTCCAGTTTTTTAAAATAGGCTTTGAGGGGCTCTCTAGTTTGATTTTATTGCACTCATGTGGTATTAGTTTTTAGGTTTTGTCGTTAAGGTAGGCCTATTAATTGGTGGCGTACTGCTGGTATATGGTATCGGGTCGTCCTTGTAATTGTGTTTCTAGTGAAAATTTTGGCGTTACTAACGTCTTTCATCAAAAAAATTTCAGATAGTTTTTCTTAATTTCTTCAGTGAACTCGTCGGGAGTGGTTCTTTCTGATATTAGCATGATTTGGGCATAGCGAGAGAGTGCGATTGTTTTCGGTTAGTCTCTTGAAAAACCGTCATTTGTATTTGATGTTCACACATAAAAGCTGCAACTTTGTGTGCTTTCCCTGATAATCCTTTAAGTTCAATTAAAGAAAAATTATTCATTTCGTAGATAGAGATTTGTTACCTGGAAAATTTTGTGTAAGCACGGGAAATGGTAGAAAAAGTGGTATTCGCCATGTTGATTTAAATGTTAGTGTTTGAATTGTTTGGGGAATTTGTTATTCCTGTGGCGAAAATTGTAGTTGTGAGGTTGTTTGGTTTTTCAGGCGTATCTTTTACTGGGAGGGGCAGGATAATTTTGTTCGTTCATGTCGGGCAGTAAAAATTTTGTGCTTTTGTTTGAAGTATGCGAGTTCATGCCGTTTTAGTTTTCCTTTTGAAATATCCGTAAATAAGACAAAATACACTTGCTTTAGTGCGAGAAATATTTGTGTTATAGAAACGGCAGATGTAAGGGCCTGATTTTTGCTTACGGCCGGCACGTAAAACACGCAAAAAGGAGCAATTTTTTTTTTATACTGAGCAGCACAGCCAATTTTGGATGGTCCGCCACCAAAAACACGGTTTGAGTATGTTTTCTGCGCTTCCAAAAACGGTAGGAACCTTGATGCTATTTGCGGCTAATTCTTTTGTCGCGCTTCGAGTCCACCACGTGAAAGCGGCACCATTTAGACCCACTGCTTTCGGGTTGAAATTTTTCAAATTGCAATTTCGCGTCTCTCAGCTTGTAATGCTTTCTCATGCTTTTAAGAAATAACTGATGTTTTTGTTGATACAGGTTGTCTATCCAGTCTTGCAATCTGGAGATAGTTAATTGCAATGAGCAAAATAAGACACTTCAATTAGTCGAGTGGTTTTTTATCACGCTCTTTTTTGTTTTATCGCAATATGATGTTTGCAGTTTCGACTTTCGAACCAAGCGACGGATTATTTGTTCTCGGGTGGTTTTTCTCCAGACGAATTCTCTCCTTTCAAAATTCGTTGGGAGAAAAAGTCTCTTTTGGCTGAATTTTATCTTACTACCTCAAAATTATTGCGGTCTTAAGCTCACGTGTTAAAATAAATTTTAGTTGCGGAGAATTTTTTGTTAAATTATGGGGCTTTAAAGATCGCCAACTTGCGACAATTAACGCGCGATACATGTCGTGCTATTGAAACGTGAGCGGTGATTCAATTTGGCTTAGAAATTATTCGAAACAGTTTAACTGGGGCATGGTTTTTTTTACTAAATATTATAACTTTTTGTGCTTAACATATCATTTTGTGCTACATAACGTATGTGATGATGATTTCAAAAAAATTTAAATGTTTAAATTAGTTTTATCCGTTTTTTTTTGAAAATTTGAACTCTACTCCATAGACATTAAAGGGCAGCCGGAACATTCAGGGTTTCGCCTTGATAAAAGTAGTCTTGTTTTTCCGACTTTCGTGGAAAGCTGCGGAATATTTGTGCTAAGGGTGGTTTTTTTCTCCAGAAGGCTTCGAGTTGTTTCTAACACAATTCGCTTGCCGAGTTTTTGTTAGCTGATAGTTTTCGTATTTTTTCTTTTTTTTTACGACCAGATTAAAATAACCGATTGTTTCTTGAAAACTGTTTGGGTTGCATTGATATGTTTTTCAGGAGGAGAGGGATCATGACAACCTGATGATGCACCACCACTTGAGTGACGGACTTCCCGTTGCAAAGTACGAATCATTAGAGTACGATGACTGCTACAACAGACCATACCGAAACCTTATCAACTCATACACTCCAAGTGTAAGTCCGAGCAACTGTTCGTTTAATTGCTTCAAATATGTTATGAAACGAAATCTTGCCGTAACGAGTTGAATTGTTTCATTGTTTCATTTTCTCATAAAAATTTTAGAATTCGCTGTCCGTATAATTGGGACGTATAATTATTTCTATAAGATTCAAAACATTCTCGGCATCCAAGTATCTTGAATTGGGAGATTTGATTCAAAGCTATTGACAAATATTTTATTGAAATCGTTCTACTGCTTCAGTTCCGGACTAGACATGCCTTCATTACGTGGGTTCTCATGTTTGTCATTGGCTTCCTCACGGCCATGGTAAGTGCAAAATTTCTGCTTTTCACCTAAAATACAAGAAAATTATTTGAAACATTTTATGCGACGAGTTGAAAAAAGGAGAAGTTTTATTGACTTAAAAGAAGTGGCGTTAGTAAATGATATGTTAATGGCTAGTTATAATTGACATTACCAATTTAAGGTTGGTCTCTCGATCGATTATTTTGTGGGTCTACTGATGGACTGGAAATTCGATGAATCACAAAAATGTAAGACATTCAAATTAACTCGTCTTATTCAACTGATGTCTCAAAATCCACCACCTCTCAAAAATTTGGGCTTCTTAAGCTTAATTCACGTGAATTAATTATTGAAATATATGAATCATTGTTGAGGATGAATAGTAAAAAGATGCAACTTTAAGAGTCGATGATTGTAGTGAAGACTGTTTTATAAGTCGTGATGATTTTTTTGGTTGTTTTTTTTTCAGGAAAAAAATCTTGAAATTTGCTCACGCTCAACTTTGGGTCAAGTTCTGACTTTTTTCAAGTTCAGTTCAATTTCTTTGTTAAATAAAGACAAACTCGACTATCGAACAGCGAAAGTGTAAGGTTCACGAATAAGGTAATTAACGTCTAATTTCCAAACGTCTAATGTTCAGTTTTTTTAATTTTTTTGGCTCAACAGGTGTCTGCTCCAAGATTGTCGGCTTAGTTGTCACATCACTGATTTTTCTTTTCTTGTGCTGTAGGCAACTTCCTTTGTTGTTGAAAGCGCAAGTTTTGTTTATTCTAGTCTCAGGTGGGACGTAAAACTGTAAAGAGTTTCTGTTAAATATTATTTTTTTCAGAAACTGTTAAATGTTCAGTTTTTTTAATTTTTTTGGCTCAACAGGTGTCTGCTCCAAGATTGTCGGCTTAGTTGTCACATCACTGATTTTTCTTTTCTTGTGCTGTAGGCAACTTCCTTTGTTGTTGAAAGCGCAAGTTTTGTTTATTCTAGTCTCAGGTGGGACGTAAAACTGTAAAGAGTTTCTGTTAAATATTATTTTTTTCTGCTCAACGTGTGTCTGCTCAAAGATTGCCGGCTTCATTTCCCTTTCGTAGGTTTAACTCCCTTGCTAATTTAATTTCGAATTTTAGCCTACGTTGAATTTCTATCGAAAAACTAATCTATTTTAAGTTTGTTCTTAAATTTTTTATATTTGTGTTTAATCGAGAGTTGGGTGAACTTCCGCTTCACCTCTTTGTAAACCTTTCTGAAAAATCAACTAACTTTAAATGAATTTTAAATGTTTATGGGCGAAGTAACGAAGTTGTTTTTATTTATAAGGTTCTTAATGATTTTTATCCTAATGTTTTTTTTCAGGAAAAATTTTTGAAATGCTCTAAGAACTTACAGAAAAGCCTCATTGTTCAATTTAAATGATTATTCATCTATTCGGCTGATTGTGCACTTTTTGAAGAGTCAATGGTTGAAGTTCAGACTTTTGTAAAGGTCTTAATGACTTTTTTTGTTTTTTCTGTCAGGAAAAGCCTTAAGAAGTTCTAATAATAAAAGAAATGCATACAAACTTAAATGCACGTTTGAATGCCCATAGGTATGTATGCATTTTTTGAATTTGATTCAAGTTCGCTTGCTAGAAGGTAGGCAAACTCACTCTCCAATTTTGAAAACAAGACCGATTTCTAGTTTCAAAAAACTAAATCAATTTTTAGATTTCCCAGCGAAACCAAAACGTTTCCTCATAATCCATTTTTCTCAAAAAAGTTCCCATGCTAATTTTTTTTAAATCCAAAGAATCTTGAAGCCATACATTTTTTATTTGAAGTTCGAAAGTTGACGCTGATAAGAGTAATGATTGTGGTGAAGTCTCTTATATTGCTTTAGTTGATTTTTTTTGTTTGTTTTTTCTTTAGGAAAAAGTCTTAAAATGCTCAAATAACTACAGATGTTCATTCATACATATTAATGCATTTATGATTGCACTTGGGTATATATTTTGTTTTTTGATTTCAATTGAAATTCATCTGCTGAAGGTGACGGACATAGCGCTCTCCATATACGAACGTGAAAATGGCGCAAAGTTCGTGAACAATTTGTAGTTTCGAAAGTGGATTTTGATTATTAGATTCCCAGCGGAATAAAAACTTTACCTATTAATCCAGTTTTCTCAAATTGGGTTAATGTTTTCAAAAATGCGCCAATCATAAAATGATCTATAGAGTATTTAGTTTTTTGTTTGAAATTAGAAAGTTGAGATTTTTTAAACAAAGTGTTTTGTTTCAGTTTACCTACGTTCATTACTCTTTTCCAACTGTCAGTTAGCTATGTTTTCAAAAACCAGTCATTTTATTTTGTTTCATCGAGTTCCTATTTTCTTCAAGTTTTTCTTTTCTATTTTTGAGTTCTATTTTTGAGTTCAATCTAATTACGAGAGTCGTAATAACAGGAAAAAAAACGAGATCGATTTCTATTTTTTTGAAAGTGCGTTTCTACACCTGCTAGCTTGCGAGCGTAGTGTATTAGTACGAACCTTTTTTTAAAACCTAACTCGCATTTGAAAGTGCTCAGTTGATGATAATAATCAGTTTGCTATAATCACGATCTGTAGTACTGGAAATTTGATGGCATCGGTTCTCTGCTTTTTGTGTGACTTGCGTTTCTAAATCGTTAAATGTCCGCTGCTGAAGGGTTTGAGCGCGAGACACAAAATCTCTAATTTGCTGGATAAAATCCGACACGTAGAGCAAGTTTTTACTTTTTCGAGGCTCTTTTTTACATTTATTTTTTTCACTTTATAGAGCTACTTTTTGTAGTGTTCTCGCTAGTCTTTGCTAAGCGCAGCTTCGCCTCTGTCGATATTTTGGATTTCCCAGCAAAATAGAAAAATTACTTTCGGTCACTTTTTCTAGCTTGTGTTAACTTTAAGAAAAAAGTTTCGTTCATGAGCAGTTCTTAAACTTCAAGAAGCTTTAACCTGATTCAGTTTTTCGGAAGTTTTTATTTCGTTTGTCCAAGTTCTTTTATATTTTTTTTCAATGTTTTGTTGGCTATCTTTTACATTGAAACTAAGTAGTTACGCTCTTCATTGAAGAAAGCGGAAATGATTTGAAATTGTTGTCAAGAAAAAGTTTTCAAATGCTTTCATAACTACAGAAGTGTATTCATGCATAATAATGCAAATTATTACATTTTTGGATCTTTTTAGTTAAATGTGCTATTTTTGAGTTCATTTAAAATTCATCCGCTAAAACTTGGGTATATTGCGCTCTCCAAATAAAAAAGCGGAAGTGGACCGACAAAACGTGAACGACTTTTAGCTGCCATCTTAAATTGTTCTTGAAATTCGGAGAGCTTTAATCTGATATATTTTTTCTTTGAAATTTGATAGTTGAAAAATTCAAATTTGCTATCAATTTTGTTTTCAATTTCTTTGTTCTTTTACACTTTTTCAACCTTCTGATGTCTATGTTTTTCCTCTGCAGCTGTTGAGAAGGAGGAAACTACTGGCAAACTGGCTCTGTCTCTTTTGGTCATGATGGGATTCAACGTCGGATTCGTTCTCATCGCTACATTCCTCACTTGTTTCGAGGTATCTCGAATCGATCAAATTCAGCTAGATTTAAACAAAATTAAACTTATAATAACCGAAAACCGCAAGAAAAATCAGTTTGAAACATTTGCCGATCCTGATGAAAATAAAATTTCATTGCTAATGTGTCATCAAAAAATGTTTCCGGGTTAAATTTTTTCAAGTGTCTATGAACGTATCGAAGACAATGATACAGGAAGTGTTAATTTTAAAAAATAAATACGAGTCTAAAAATGTTGTAAGTGTCTGTGAACGTAGTTTAGACTCTTATATAAGTCCAGATAAATTTTATCATTATCTAGTTGTTTGTTGAAACTCAGAAAATGATTTTTTTCTCAACAGTCAGCCAATTTTTTCGGTTTCTTGGCGTTCATTAAAATTTTACTAATTGTCTGGCTATGTTTATTTCTTGAGTTCAAAGGCGAGGCAACGCTTTAAACCCTTTTCGATACAAAAAATTAACACGGAAGCTAGCTGAAAAAAGTAGAAGTAGACGAAGTTCCCTTAGTGGAAAAAATAAAAAAAAAATATGTCAAAAAAACTAATTCTCTAATGCAACCAACTTTTTGATAAGTTTGTCTCAAGTGAAGTGCAAATTGAGGAAATCATGACGACCGTCAAAACTGCCATTTTTAAACTAGAGTTGAATCAAAGTTTATCAAGCGGCAATTAAGCAGAAAATACTTGGGGACACGACAATTGAGTCGAAAAAAGGACATTTTCAGCTATCAAAAGAAATGTTTGGAGCATTGTCCGAGTTTTGAAATTCGAAGCTTTCCGCCCCTTTCATAACATGAAAGCAAAGAAAAACTCTTTCAGACGTGTTATGAGGCAACAAAACCAATATATTACATACTGTAAGTATTTGAGCCAGAAAACCCTGAAAGGGAAAAATGAAAAAAAGCTAAGAGGAAATTCCACAAAAATTTTAGGTTTTTATTTAAAAGCTTACAGAATAAATCAAAACCAGTTTCATTCTTTCCAGTTTCACCAGAAAATTACTTTGATCAGAAAAAAAATTGACGTTTTCGACAATAAACTGATTAAGACAAGCAGGCAAGCGGCAGTCAGCCAACTCAGTTTTTACATGAAAAAAGTTTTCTATTCAAAAAGCAGCTCCGACCAGCTTGAGCGTTACCTACAGGTTGAAGAAACTGTCATTGGATTTGAGTCTTTTAGGAAACACTTATTATTTCACATGCGAGTTTTTCTTAGGAAATTGTTTTACAAAAAAATAACAATTTAGCTATGGGCGGATCTAGGATTTTCTCGAGAGGGGGAGCGTAAATTTTGTCAACTTTTTTTAGGTCGACCAAATTGATTTTTCGAGCTTTCCAAAGCACTAAAAAGTCCCTGTTTTGGTTTAAAAAAAAACAGGCCAAAAAAGGCGTTTTTAGGCACTTTTTGGAAAATTTTGACAAAAAAAAATCGCGTTATATACTCAAAATTAGTATATATTGGTCCCGAAGGCGCCTTTAGAAAAATTTTAGGGTCCGTCACCCAAAATGGATATCTCAAAATAGTACAAACAGCAGACCCTTTGGGTCGGCAGGTGTTCGACCCACCACCCCCCCCCCCCCCCCGCACTAAACCCTTCCCTGCTGAATTTAGCATTTCTTACAATATCCTTGCTATTCGCAGAAGTAATAACCATCCCTAAGTTGAGCTCTTTTTTCTTATCCACCACTGGTTAATTTTTTACCAATAAAATTATTGCTTACATCGTCCAATCGGCCTGCAAACTTGCAATTCTAAGTAGGCGTTGAAAATGAAAAAGCATAATTGATCTTCATGCTTAAACTTATAAAAAAAAAACACTTCGTTCACCACAAAATTGACGGACATGTGAAGCGAGGCGGAAGAGGAAGGACTCTTTTGGTAAAAAATTTTTTGTATGTAATAATTTTTTAAAAGCTTTTATTTCAATAAATGAATTTTCAAGAGTCATGAACTTAGTGAAATTGCTATGTTGTCTGTTTTGTCAAGGGAAATACAATTTATTTAAAAAACACGTTAGGTTAGAAAATTTAAAATCAGAAAACTAAAATTACATTCTTTTTATGCGTACACAAATTTTTGATAAATATAAAATTGTTTGAAATAGTATGGAAATTGTATGTTTCAGCCGTTCGCAGCTGGCTCTGGTATCCCAGAGGTGAAGTGCTACCTGAATGGAGTGAAGATGCCCAACATCACCCGATTCAAGACTCTTCTCGTCAAAGCCATTGGCGTACTCTTCAGCGTGGCGGGAGGTAAACGCTCCTTTAATTTTAAAAAAGACTTTCTATAAAGGTGACTGGTAAATTCAAAATTTTTTCTGTGGAAACTTTTTTTTACTTAAGACTTAGTAATCATTTTAATCATTTTGTGTACTTGATGTACATGAAGAAATTGGTGTCTTAACCATTGGAGTGTCTTCCTGGTTAATTTTGACCTTGAAATTGGTTTGGTCTCAGGCATATTCGTGGGACGAGAGGGCCCCATGATCCACAGTGGGGCTGTGATTGCGGCAGGGATCCCTCAGTTCATGCTGCCCCAGGAGTGCTACGAGAAGAGCAAGAGGTGTGCCAAGTGCAAAAACAAGGGATACAGATACTACCGCTCCGACAGGTGAGCAGAACTTGAAATACTCACATTCAGATAAGTTATTCACCAGGCTTGTTAGAGTAGCCGATCGGTGGCTAATTTTCATACAAATACAAAAAACTGATTAGTGTGATTGTGCATGCTAATATTTTAACATAAAGCTACTAACTTCAATAAAAAATTTTCAGGGCTTTATCTCAGTCAAATTGTTTACCAGCCAAGTTTTAAGTTTTTAACAAGCTCTGTTTTGTTTAGACTAAAGAGAGACTTCGTGTCTGCTGGAGCTGCTGCTGGTGTTGCAAGTAATTAATTTAGCTATTTCGATCAAAAGTCAAAAGTGATGTCTTTTGGAAAATAAAAATCTCAATGACGTTTTTTCTCCCAATTTTTTTTTATAGCCAGGCGTGTTTTGTTGTTCCGACCATTGAAAATTGGAAGGATTTTTGTACTAGGTTTAGTAAACTTTTTATTTGTTTTTCACGCAAATTTAGGTACGACAAAAAATCATTTTTTTGGGTTGAGTGATACATCGAACTAAAGCATTTTCAGTCGTAATTTGAACCAAAATAAAAATTTTCCAAAAACTTTTCCAGCCTTTCCCAATACCTAGTTAAACCGTTTGTAATGGCGTTTTTGGGGAAGCACCCAAAACTGCAGCATTAAGGTGCGAGAACCATATCCAAATCGCGGTTTGTCAAAAAACAAAGTGAAACTTGAAAATTTCCACTTCTTCACCGGGTTCAAAGTACATATTTTTTGGAAAAAGAACCGTACTCTAGGGATGTCGACTCCTTGCTGCCCTTTATCGTTCCCTTCTATACAGAAACCTAGAAATAGTGGAAGACAGAAGTTTAGAGACAAAATGCGCATAAAAAACACAGCAAAAATTTTTTTCGTACACAGAACTCTACAGCCCTCTTTGATCTAGCTGCCTGAAAAATTTTAAAGCCTTCATTACAGCCCTCGTACCTGATGAAAACAGTATTGTCTTTTGTGACGTAAATACACAATCCCCTCTTTGGTACTCTAATTTCACTGAGAATCAAAAAGGGATCAGACTCTGAGCCAAAAGAATTGAATGTACTTTTAACCCACTAAATGGCCTTCGTCAAATTTGGTCGCCAAATGATAGTACCATGGCAGCTTTTTCCCGTGCCCGTGCCTTGCCCTTTATTTTGCTAAATTTTCTGTGGCAAACACTTTCAAAGCTAGGCTCAGATATCTCCGGTTTTTGATTATCCTCTCAACTTCGCAAGAGATACCGTTTGTTTCCAGCAAAGTTTTTACTTATTTTACCAGAGCAGACTGGGAAATTTTAACCAAAAGAAATTATTTGTTATAGAGGCTGAAACATAGAAGCCATTGCAAAATTATGTAATTGCTGCAAAACGGGCTTCTTATGAAACAATACTTGCTGCAGCACGTCACCAAATTCCAAGCGGCCGACATCAATTATTTGTTCCTCATTGAAAAACCAGAAAAAATTGTGCAGAAACGAGATGAGAATTGACTTTTCGTAGCTATCCGAACTTAATATACAAAGATTTTCAGACCAAACTTTCTAAAGACAATGAAAAAAATGGAGAGAGTTCATCCAGAATTTCAATAATCAGAAGTGACAAGGCTCAAAAAGCAACCGAAAAAAAACTCAAACTTAGCCCCGAGCAAAGGCTCATTAGATTTTTCCTTTGGAAACTCAGAACAAAATCAAAGCGAGAAAACCCTCAAAAGCATTAGAACTTACTGGTTTCTGTACGATTCATCTTAACCATGTCGGACCATGATCATTATAGTTTTTATCTAATTAGTTTATTTTTTTTTGCTTTAGACAAAATTCCTCAAAGTTGGAAAAACTCTAAATTGGTATACTTGCCGACAAACCAACAAGTATCTCAAATCCTCAGACTCGTACGGCGAGTGCGAATTTGATACCCAGCACAAAGGTTTTGCTTTTTAATCCATCCCACCCTTACCAAGATCTCACCAAATTTGATCAACAACATTGGTGGAGCCCGATGCATTCAACCACCACAGCACTTTCAACTGTTATCTTTTTTGTCAACAAAGGCTCCAGAAAAAGACAGTCCCGGTCAAACTTATCTTATCGAAACTTTAGAGGATGTTCAGCCATTGCAGCTTCTGATCTAATTCATTACACTTGTGTACCAAAAGACTTATTAAGTGGTTTTCAAACTACGCGAGTGGGCGTCAATCAAAAACTGTTTTGAGGGATGCTTTGTCAAAAATTAGGGTTGTTCGCACAGGCGTCTCCGAAAACTCAGTCTCTCCCAAATTTTTTTTTTTGAATTTTTACGTTTATGACGCTCCACCATCCCCGGATGAATTGCAACAGTCATACTCAGTCGACTTCTACCGTTTTGTCCACTTCAACAGTATTTCAACTGGCCCTAGAAAAGCATCCCAAACCAAATTTTGTCTTCTTGAATCCGTCCCTAAATTTTGCTGAATATTGTAAGAACATCTGCAAAAGCTACGCGCAAGATATTGATCTTGAAGGTTTGCTCCCGGGTTTCTTGGGGAATGTCCAAAAACACTTTACTGATTACTTTTAAAGCTTTGGTAGCCCCAATTTTAGACTATGCGAGCCCGACTTGATCCCACCATGTCAGTAAAAAAAATTAAGCAACCTACAAAGAACTCAAAAAAGTGCTGCCCGCGTTATAACAAGATGTACTAATTGAGCGCCTTGAAAACTTTAAAATCAGAATGTTAACTTTTAAATGCGGACCCCCGCCATCATCTACTGGCGTAGCATTTAGTTTTTCTAGGAATCTTCGTGATTCGCTGCTTGAGTTAATTGTCCCCGAAATAGATACTATCCTATCCGAACACGCTTTTATTTTGAAAAACTTCACATTGCTTCAGATGAAAATACGTACATATATAGTTAGGCAGGCCAAATTAGATGCACTGCCTCAGAAAGTTCTGCCACTCAGACTACCTGAATTTTCCGCCGTCAAAAAATATCTCACTCGGTCCACTAGGAGAGCCTATCCCAGTTGAGATCTGGGTACGGCCCTTCATCAGTAACTGAAATCAATTGGCCCCAACGTTCCCCAAAGTTTTCAGTGTCTGGGCAGGGGCACATCTAGGATGTTCTCGAGGGTGAACAGGGGGTGTATCGGCGGATTTTCAATAAAAAGTCGAACTTTTTGTCTGTCAAATTGATTATCTGAGCTCTTCCAAATCATTACAAAGACCGTATTTTGACACAACGCCGCTCGCACATTTTTGAAAAAACAGGCCAATTTCAGTCAGCCAAAAATAGATAAAATTATCATAAAAGTGCTTCATGTGAGGCTTGGTTTGAGCATGCGTCTCCTCGGATCTAAAAAGAACAACAGTAAACATGATGGCAATTTCAGCTGCATTTGGTGCCCCAATTGGAGGAGTCTTGTTCAGTCTAGAGGAAGGATCTTCTTTTTGGAACCAAGCTCTCACCTGGAAATCAGTGAGTGCGTTTTGACTCATCAAATCTTAAACTATATTTCACAATAATGGTGTAATACTGTTTTGATAAGTTTGAAGAATTTCATCTTTAATCAGTCTTTCTCGATGACGTTGCCTTATTGCCTTTTTCCAACCATTTCACAAAGTGAAACAAAACTATGGTGTACGGTGTTTTTTCAGTTAATTTTGACCTGAAAAAAAGCTTGCAGATCTATCAACTTAGAGCACTTGCAGCCGGCCGTGATTTGGATTCTATAAAAAAAGTTTAAGAACTTATCTCATTCTCGAGAAAAACTGGTCTGAATGCTTTCGTTTTTCAGAAAAATTTGACTATTAAGTTTCGATAAACGTCGTGAAGTCTCTTATATAAGAAGTTTTCAGGAAATAACTTGAAATTCGTTCAGACTCAAATTTGATTTTTTGCGGTTTTTTTTTTTGATTTTTTTAAGTTCAGTTCATTTCCTTTGTTACCAAGAAGGCAAACTCCAAGAAGTTTTAAAAAGAAGACAAAAAGTGTAAAAATGACAGCAAACGAGATCGCACTCGTTTTGTTTTTGAAAGTCAAAGAGCTTTAACCTGTATAACTTTTTCTTCAAAAAATTCTTAAGAAAGTTGAAAAAATAATCAACATTTTTCGATCATTTTTTTGGATTTCTTGTTCTTTTAAAATTTTTTGAATCTTCTGTTGGCTACGTTTTTAATTCAAATAAAACAGAAAAGCGAAACAAATTGTAAGAGTGGATGAATGTATTGAAAAAAGTTAGTGGCAAAAAAAATAGTTCTAGCGTTCTTTGCGTTCTTTAACTTTTTCCAACTGTTGTCTGTTTTTTAATATTTTTCAATTTTTTTATTTTTGAATTTTCTCTGCTATCATTGTGGTTGAAACATGTTCTACATGCACAGCAACTGGCTTTCCTTGTGTTTCAGCTTGCATGTGCGATGACAGCCACTGCGTCCCTCAACTTCTTCCTGTCTGGTATCGACCATGGTAACTGGGAATCCTTCGACAACCCCGGTCTCCTCAACTTCGGCGCATTCAACGTCAGTCATCTATCAACCATTTAAGACCTCAATAATTCCCCATTATCGATTATGAAAAACATCAAGCTTAGCAGCAATTGGATGATTTTTGAATTTTGAGGCTCATATCTCATATACTCTCTCTTTTTGTTCCTTCTGTTTTTCGTTCGATATTTTGAAAAACGAAGTGAATTACTCTATTTCATTAGTAATTCACTTCGTGTCTTTTTAGTTAGCATCATCTTTTCTTTTCAAATTTTTTTGTTTCTTTTTTTCTTCTGAAATGTTTAAGTGTCAATGAACGCAGTGAAGGCTTTTATATACTCGGCGATGATTTTTTTTGTTCAGGACAAAGTCCTAAAATTGGATTACGCTAAAATTGATTTTCTTGCGGTTCGAGTTTTGAGTTTTAAAAGTTCAATTCATTTTCATTTGAGAAAAGAAAGGCAAACTACGCTCTCCTAAAACGAAAATGGACATGGTGCAAAAACCTGAATGATTTATATATTCAAAAGTAGATTTAAGAGTCGGAGAACGTAGCAAAGAGTTTCATATAGATATGTTTTTTTCAGGAAAATTCTTTAATTTTGCTTAGGCTCAAATTAACTTTTTGCGGTTTGACTAAAGTCTCCACTATCAAAATAGTCTCCACTATCAAACAGTAAAAGTGTAAAGGTCACGAAAAAGGTGATTGATTTCTAGCTTCGAAAGTAAGAATTAAGTTTTCAGACTTCGCAGCGGCTTAATTTCATTTCATTTTTTGTTAGAAGTAGAGTAAGTAGAGTAGCACCAAAAAAAATTATCTATTGATCCAGCTTTCTCAAATTGGGTTAATTTTTTCAAAAAAGCACCAATCAGAAATTGTTTGTTAAATTCAAAAAATTTGATCGCTTTTGTTTTTTCTGTTAAACTTATAAGATTTTTTTCAAAGTGTGTTCCCAACCAAATAAATGTTTACCAATCCAGTTTTCTTCAATTTGGCTATCAAATTTTCATAAAACTTAAGAAACACAACGCGATTAAATTTCTTAAGATTAATGAACGTAGTGAAGACTCTTAAAATGATCTTGATGTTTCTTTTTGGTGTTTTTCAGGCAAAAATTTTAAATTGCTCTAAAAACTAGAGATGTGCATTCATATTTATTAAATCATATATGAATTTACTTAGGCATATTTGTGCTTTTTGTGTTCATTTCAATTTTATCTGTTTAAATTTAGCTAATTAACTTTCTCCAAATACGAACGTAGAAATGGCGCGAAAAAACGTGAACGACTTATAGCTTCGAAGTGCAATTTATTTTTAGTACACTGAGTACAATCTATATTTTAGATTTCCAAGCGAGTAAAAGTTTTAGCTATAAATCCAGTTTTCTCAAATTGAGTGAATGTTATGAAAAAAGTGTGAATCACATATTTTTCTTCACTTTCGAGAAGGGTTGAACCCATATACTTTTTTTCTTGAAAATTTGAAAGCTGAAATGTTTTTTTTTTTTTTTAAAAATCAGTATTTTTTCAGTTTCCATGCGTTCATTACTCTTTTCCAACTGTCGGTTGGCTATGTTTGAATAACTCGCCACGTTATTAATTATAGTGCACAGATGACAACAACAGAGACTGTACTCTTTGGCAAGTCCAGGACCTTTTTATCTTTGTCCTCATGGGCATGATGGGGGGTCTTTTGGGCGCCATCTTCAACCAGCTTAACTACTATCTCACTCGCTGGAGGATCCTCCATGTCATCCCTAAGGGCAAGTTCTTTAGAGCTCTGGAGTCTGTTCTGGTGGCGGCCGTTACTACACTCCTAACATTCACGGCATCCATGACATTGGGAACATGTGTGTACGATGTAAGTGTTCATCGTTTTAATTACACAAGCAATGCTTGTGTTATAGTAAGAACTATCTTTTTTTTCCACCCTAGTCGCAAATATTGTTGCGACAAAATGTGTTCATTTTGATCATTAACCAGCTATCAAGTATAGCCAATGCTAAGGATATTAACGCAGACTATTAAGAGTAAAGACTCTCATATAGAAGACTCTCATATAGGTCTTGCTGTATGGGATCGGGGTTTTTTTCAAAATTTTTTTTTGAGACGCTTTGGAAAGTTTTCGTTTATCTTAAACAGATTTTCAAAATAGTAGTACCAATGGGAATTCCGGTCACACCCCTGTGTGCTAGCATACTCCCCTAGTCTTTTTTTCACCCCACTGTATACAGCGTTCGAAAAAGTGTGTGGTGTAAATTTTTGACCCAAAATATTAGATTTTTAAAATTTTGTCACAAACTACCCACCCAAATCTGCCATTTTTGGTTCAATGGATAAAACAGGTTGTAGAAAGCCCCCTGCATAAGCGGCTTCTGTCCAGAGTTTCTGTACACAAAGTTATGGCCCTCAAAATACTCAATTTTTCAAATTTTTGACCGTTTTTTGAAATTTAGTCTTTTATCGAAAATTACCCTCCCGAATCTGAGATTTTGGTTTCAACCGAACGGAGGGAGGATTGTGGGGAGCGCTTCTGCATTAGTGGTTACGCTCACGTTTTCCACACATTAAGTTCTGAACCTCAGAAAGTCAAGTTTACGAATTTTTTATCGTCTTTTTGAAATGTTTCTCGAAAACTACCCTCCAAAAACATGAGGTTTTGGCTTTAGTTAGTGGAATGAGTTATGGGAAGCTCCGCTGCATAAAAAATTACGGCTATATTGTTTTACACAAAAAGTTCTGACCCTCCGAAAAGAAGAATTTTCGATTTTTTCATCGTTTCATCAAACATTTTGACTTTTCGAAATCTACCCTACTAAATCTGAGATTCTGCTTTCAATAAAAAGAATGAGTTGTATCAAGCTCCTCTGCAGAGGCGTCAACACCCAAATTTTTGTACACACCAAGTTATGAACCTCGGATTAGTAGAATTTTCTACTTTTTTTTGAATCTTTTTGACTTCTCTCAAAAACTACCCTACCGATTCTGAGATATTGGTTTCAGTGTCAAGAACGGATTGTGGGAATTACGCTCCACTTTATAAGCAATTACGCCCAATTGTTTCTACACAAATAGTTGTGACCCTCGGAAACTTTTTTTTCAGTTTTTCAAAAGTCAACAAACAGTTTTCAGTAGTTTTTCTACTAATTGTCTTAAACTACCATCCCAAACTTGAAATTTTAGGTTCAATGAAGAGAGAATGGGTTGAGCGAAGCTCGTGTGTGAAAGTGCTCACGTTAAATTTTTTCAACACAAAAAATATATGACCTTCAGAAAAGTCAATGATTTGATCCCTTGTCCGTTTTTTTTGAACTTTTGACTTCTTGGAAACAACTCAATCTGATATCAAAGGCTTAATCAAGACAACAGTTTGTAAAAAGCCTCCGTGCGTAAACTGCTACGCATTAAAAATTTGAACCTGAAACAATTCTGTGAAAATTCCAAAATAACAAAATATTTCACTCTTTTTTTAATAGAACAACAACCTAGGTTTCGGGTAAAGCCCAATGCTTAAATGTTTTAAATTACCCACTTCATTCCGCATCAGTACAACAAAATCAAAAATTTATCAAACAGGTTTCTTCAGCTTTAGTAGCACCGTAGCTTCAAGCTATCATGGATATGTAGCGTAGAGGTAGGGAAGGAGACCCGCAATAAAATAAGAGGGTTCGATCCTGGACAGGGTCGGGTGTTTTTAATGAACTTTTTCGTATACTATTTAAAACGCGTCAGCTCTATCAATTGAGTTAAATTAGTTAGTAAATTTTCTTTTTTTTAAAACTGACTGGTATTGCTTATGCATGATAATTGGCATTCGTCACTTAGCAATTGTGTAGACTCATAATTGGCGTGCGTCAATTAAGAAATTTTGTAGACTCAAAGTTTTTCTCATTCAGTTTTCCCAGTAGCGTTATTGGTCAAATTTTTGCTTGTGTATGGGATGTGCGACTTGGCTTCTGTGTAATCATTGCTTTAATGTTTTTTTAAAATAAATTTTTTTAAAAGAGAAAACAGTTTTTAAATTTTTCGAAAAAAGTCATGAGTCTTACAAAAAATGTTTTAACCTCTGTACAAGCTAAAGTACAACTCTTGTTAAAACTTCTAAGTTTTCATGGATGAATTTTTTTATCATTTATTAAGAGTAATGAACGTAATGAGTACTCCTATATAGGTTTTGGTAGTTTTTTTCTTTGTTGTTACTTTTCAGGAAAAATTCTTTAAACTTGTTCACGCTTATTTACGATTGTTCGCGGTTTAACTTTTGTTTTTTCTTTAAATTTGGTTCATTTACTTTGTTAGGAGTAAAGGAAGTTCCATCAAACAGTAAAAATTTAAAGGTCGCGAAAAACGTGATCGGCTTCTAGTTTCGAAAATGGATTTTTATGTACAGTCTTCCCAGCGGACGGAATTAAAAAACTACTTATTGATCTAGTTTTCTCATATTGAGTTATCCTTATCGCAAAAATGGCAATCCTAATTTTTTTATTGAACTAAGGGCATCTCGTTTTTTTTTTAAATCTAAAATTGGATTTTTTTTAAAAAAAAAAGTTACTTTTTTTGGTTTACCTGCATTCATTAGCTCTTTTCCATGTGTCTGTTGGCTATGTTTGTTCAAACTTTCCAATCAGAATATAATACGAATCATAGTTCGTTTAAAAGTCAGGAAAATAGTGAGTATTCTTATAAAAGTCTTGGTGATTTTTTTTTCCAGGAAACAATCTTCGATCTTTTTCTGGCTCAATTTTGATTTTCGCGTTTTGACTTTTGATTTTTATAAGTACAGTTCGTGTCCTGTGTTAGAAGACAGTTAAATTTTTGTGGTTACAAAAACCGTGATTGGCGTCTGAATTCAATAGTGGAAATTAATTTTCAGTTTTCCCAGCGAAAAAAAACTTTTACCTATTGATCTAGTTTTCTCGTATTGGGTTAATCTTATCAAACAAATACGATTTATGAATGGTTTGTGAATTTCACAGAGCCTTAAGGGCATACGTTCTTTGTTCTTTTAAATTTGGAAATTATAGTTTTTTCAAAAAAATACAAGTCAATTTTTTTCTGTTTCCTCGCATTCATTACTTTTTCTAACTGTCAGTTGGCTATGTTCCCATAAAAAAAATTTGGCTCTAAGTGCATCAGTTCCAGTAATTTGTTTTTTTTTCATTTTGAAAATAGTTTTTGAGTTTCGATTTTGTAAGTTTTGGTGTTCCCCATTCATTGAAGAATCTGGCTCATGATTTCATATCACTCAAACTATTTTCAAGTGCTTATAAACTATCTTCCCAATTGATGCTCGGTGGTGATTTTTCGGTCTTAGTGGTTTTCTTTTTCCTGAACTGCGCTAATATCTACAGATGTGCAATAATTTTTTTGAATGTATTTATAAGTGCTCTTAGATTTATATGCACTTTTCGAGTTCAGTTTAAATTCACCTGGAATACGCACTTGCAAAAAAAAAACAAGAACTTATTTTTGCTTCAAAAATAAATTCACTATTTCCCAGCGGAAGAAAATTTGTACCTGAAGTTTAAAAAAAATCAAATTTACTTGCATATATTGACTCTTTTCGAACTTTCTGTTGGCTCCGTTTTAGTTACCAACAATGACAGCTTTCAACAGCTTCTCGCTTTGATTCGGTTCAATTTTGATTCGGACTGACCGTCAAAAATAACAGTTGGTATATTTAATTCTATAATTGAACCCCTGATAAAAAAAAATATATTCGCCAAAAATTATAAAAAATTTCGACTAATTAGTTGTTGGCCGAGATTCAGCTATCATTTCCCCCCCCCCCACATTTTTGCTTAGATTCAGCTATCATTTTTGCCCCCCCCCCCCACATTTTTGCTTCATCTGCGTTTATTCGAGCAAAAAAGGACAGCTTGCTCCTGAATCGAGACTGCTTCAACTGCAATCTACCCAGTAACTTTCGTAAAGTGCTGTCACACTACTCAGACCTCCTACTTACGGCACAGTGCTGTTGTATCGCTTCTCAGACCTGCTCACGTCCTGATCATTTCTCAGACGTTCTACTTGCGACATACTAGTGCTGTCTCTTTGCTTGAAATTCCCGAAGTCCGCACCTGGTGCTTTGCCATTACTCATATTCTGCTCAAAGCACAGTGGTGCTGTCCCACTACTTAATTGTCCTGCTCACAGCACAGTGGTGCTGTCCCACTACTCAGACGTGCTGCTCCCGGCACAGTGTTTTTGTATCGCTTCTCAGACGTCCTGGTCACGTCCCATTCATTTCTCAGACGTTCTACCTATAACACAGTGGTGCTGTCTCTTTGCTTGAAAATCGCGAAGTCCTCACCTGGTGCTTTACCATTACTCATATTCTGCTCACCGCACAGTGGTGCTGTCCCTCTACTCGGACGTGCTGCTCCCGGCACAGTAGTGCGGTATTGCTGCTTCGAAGTCTTGACATCTCTAGTGGTGCTGTCTTCTTTCTCAGACGTCCTACTTGCGGCTAAAGGTGCTGTTTTTCTTCGCCTGACAGCCACGATATCCGCACCTTGTGCTTTGTCAGTTCTCAACTCTGCTCACGACACAGTGGTACTGTCCCATTACTAAGACATCTTGCCCACGGCACAGTGTTGTTGTATCGCTACTCAGACGTGTTGCCCACGTCCTGCTCATTTCTCAGACGTTCTACCTATAACACACTGGTGCTGTCTCTTTGCTTGAATTTCACGAAGTCCGCACCTGGTGCTTTACCATTACTCATATTCTGCTCACCGCACAGTGGTGCTGTCCCTCTACTCGGACGTGCTGCTCCCGGCACAGTAGTGCGGTATTGCTGCTTCGAAGTCTTGACATCTCTAGTGGTGCTGTCTTTTTTCTCAGACGTCCTACTTGCGGCTAAAGGTGCTGTTTTTCTTCGCCTGACAGCCACGATATCCGCACCTTGTGCTTTGTCAGTTTTCACACTCTGCTCACGACACAGTGGTACTGTCCCATTACTAAGACATCCTGCCCACGGCACAGTGTTGTTTTATCGCTACTCAGACGTTTTGCTCACGTCCTGCTCATTTCGCAGACGTTCTACTTGCGACATACTAGTGCTGTCTCTTTGCTTGAAATTCCCGAAGTCCGCACCTGGTGCTTTGCCATTACTCATATTCTGCTCACAGCATAGTGGTGCTGTCCCACTACTTAATTGTCCTGCTCACAGCACAGTGGCGCTGTCCCACTACTCAGACGTGCCTCTCCCGGCGCAGTGTTGTTGTATCGCTACTCACGACGTCCTGCTCACGTCCTGCTCATTTCCCAGACGTTCTACTTGCGACATACTTGTGCTGACTTTTTGTTTGACAGTCTCAAAATCTGCACCTGGTGCTTTGCCGCTACTCATATTCTGTGCACGGCACAGTTGTGCTACTCAACTACTCAGACGTTCTGCTCACGGCACAGTGAAGCTGTCCCACTATTCAGACGTCCTGCTCAGTGCACAGTGGTGCCTCACTGCTACTTCGAAGTCTTGGCATCTTTAGTGGTGCTGCCCCATTTCTCAGAAGTCCTAATTACGACACACTTGTTCTGTCTCTTTGCTTGAAAGTCTCGATATCCGCATCTAGTGTTTTTTTTTTCAGTGTTCACATTCCGCTCACGGCGGCACAGTGGTGCTGTCCCTTACTCAGATGTCCTACTCACGGCAGAGTAGTGCTGTCCCACTACTGAGACGTCTTGCTCACGGCACAGTGCAGCTTTACTGCTACTTCGAAGTCTTGGCATCTTTAGTGGCGCTATCCCAATTCTCAGCCGTCCTACTTACGACAAACTGGTGCTGTGGCTTTGGTTGAAACACGGCTCAGTGTTGCTTCCAACAACTCAGACCTCTTGCTCAAGGCACCGTGGTGCTGTATCGCAACTTTGAAAACTTGGCTTCTTTAGTGCTGCTGTCCCACTACTCAGACGTGCTGCGCCCGGCAAAATGGTGCAGTATTGCTGCTTCGAAATCTTGCAAACTTTGGTGGTGCTGTCTCATTTCTCATGCGTCCTTCTTACGGCTACTGGTGCTGTTTTTCTTTGCCTGAAAGTCACAATATCCGCACCTTGTGCTTTGTCAGTAGTCACAACCTGCTCACGGCTCAGTGGTACTATCCCACTACTAAGACATCCTGCTCACGTCCCAGTGGTGCTGTCTTCTACTCAGACGTTTTGTCCACGGCACAGTGTTGTTTTATCGATACTCAGACGTTTTGCTCACGTCCTGGTCATTTCTCAGACGTTCTATTTACGACACACTGGTGCTGTCTCTTTGCTTGAAAATCGCGAAGTCCGCACCTGGTGCTTTGCCATTACTCATAATTTGCATCCGACAGAGTGGTGCTGTATGGCTGCTTCGAAGTCTTGACATCTCTAGTGGTCCTGTCTTATTTTTCAGACGTCCTAATTGCGGCTACTGGTGCTGATTTTGTTCTTTTGTTCGCCTGAAAGCCACGTTATCCGCACCCTGTGCTTTGCCAGTACTCACATTCTGCTCACGGCAGAGTGGTACTGTCCCACTACTCAGACGTCCTGCCCACGGCATAGTGTTGCCGAATCGCTACTCAGACGTCCTGCTCACGTCCCAGTGGTGCTGACCCACCACTCAGACGTTCTGCTCAAGGCTAAATGCTGCTGTGTGGCTGCTTCGAATTCTTGGCATCTTTAGTGATGCTGTCTCGTTTCTCAGACGTCCTGCTTGCGGCACTGTGGTCTTGTCTCCTTTCTTAAAAATCGCAACTTTCGCAGCTAGTGCTTGCCCACTGTTCACGCCCTTCTCACAGCACAGTGGTACTGTTTCTCAGACATCCTGCACACGGTATAGTGGGGCTCTATTGCTACTTCGAAGTTTTGGCATCTTTAGTGGTGCAGCCCATTTATCAGACGTCCTACTTACGGCACACTCTTGCTGTCTCTTTGCTTGAACTCCCGCGACCTCGTGAAAAATCAGAATCAATAGTTCTAATTTGAGAACCGAACAGTTTACTATTTGTTTTCAGGGCGCAAGGAGAACGTTTGTGCTATCTTTCACTGTCAGCAGAACGAAGCTTGCGAAGTGAAACACTCCACCTGACGCTATTGCAAAAAGGGCAATTGACTCCGATTTACCGCAATTTTTTTTTACTTTCTCGCCCGCATCGTTAAGTTTTACTATGGGAAAATGGAAGGGGACGTCCTCATTTAGACAGCAACGAGCAAAGTCACCGTACCGACCGGAAGCGTGCTCCAGTTCTTCCATCCCAGAGGCGGAAAATATTGAAGTGTAAAGGGAAACAAGATTTAAAATAAAACAAGAATAGCCGCTTACTGTGCTGGTATCTCAGAATTTTCTGATCATTCTTTTAAAAAAGTACCACAATTAAATTAATGTCGTTTTTTTTCGACGTGGTATGATGAAAAGAGCTGAACGAAAAACTAGATATTCGGAATATTCGTCATTTATATAGAATAAGCAAATTGAAAAACAAATTTTGTTGGAAAATGAATGGAAAAACAAAAAGAAAATCAAAAAAAGTTCCACATTTTTTGCAGTTTTTGAATCTTTGATTCCAAAAAGGCGCTAAGTTACTAAAAAAAACTAAAGTATTTTGGGTAAAACTAAGTTTTTACGTTCTAAATTAACTTATTGTAAGCCTGCTCGTTCGCTTTCTTTGCTCGATATAAGGCGAAAAAAATTCACACCCGTTTATCTTGACACTGAAAAATGTTTTTGATGTTTTACATCATTCAAATTAAGACTGTAACTGCTTTGACATGATATATCAGACAACTCTCTCCAATGAGTATTTGTGGTAGCTGAATTTGAGTGAAAAGAAAAAAAGAGAAGAGATAATAAAAACTAAAACACACACGAATACAAAATTCTTCCCCATTTTTGAATGGTCGGAACAAAGACAAGTTTAAAATATATTTGAGCACAACTAATATATCATCAAACCGCTATA